TCTATAGAAGGCCAGTATACCACTCTATATATATATATATATATATATATATAATCCCCGAACAGTCGCTGCCCGTGACTTTTTCGCTGACTCATCCCCCGCCGCTTTGCTCCCGCGCTAACGACTATTTAGTCGAATCGCTCCCCTTTCCGCTCCCTTCTGCTCCCTTCGTCTCTTGCGCGCTCCCCTTCCACTCCCTCCTGCTCCCTCCTGCTCCCTCACGGCTCTGGCCCGCTCCTGCCGTGCTCCCTCACGTGCCGGTGAGGCTCCCGTTCGGGCTCCAGTCTCACAGGCGTCAACGTCGCGCACGTCCAGCCAAGTGGTAACTTTACCCGATGGCATCGACGAGGGCCCGTTTTGGCCCTGGATGAAAGGTGGGATCCCTGAGAGGATCCCTGAGAGGATGCCCTGCTACGTCGCTGGACGGGGTCAATTGAATCCCCCAATCCTGTACTGTAGGACAATGCTTCTCTTTTCCTCTCTTCCTTGCACTGTCCTCTCTTCCTCTCCCTCTCCTTCTCTCGGCCCTCACACCGTCCCCTCCCCTCCCTCTACTTCTCGTGGGAATCACTCTTTCTGCCCGGTCTTCTGACTACCTACACGCTCCTTCCGCGCGCTTCGTCGTGCTTTGACCCTCCCTCCCCAGTCATCTCCTGTTCCTTTCCTCTCGACGCCTCTTCTTTCCTTGATCTCCTGCTCAAGTGCGGCGCTGTTCCCCCAATGCCGAAGAGAAAGAAAACCGCGGCGGAAGTCTTTGATGAAGCGGAGGAGAATGGCTGGGAGCCAATTGCGGAGGCCGACGTGAATGGCGATCCGGTCAGCAAACCCATTGAATCGGGGACTGAGCTGAACTACGACCGAATGGTCGTTCTCTGGGACGAGTAAGTTCTTCGCCCGGGCCAAGGGTCGTGCTGGGCTTTGCTAATGAAGGTGAACTTTGGCATGTAGGTATGCACGGCGAAATCCTGGCGTGAGCCCCTACGATCTACGGTCGGCGAAGCATTTCATGGAGGGCATTGTAAAGGGGAGCAAGGCTGGCCTGAGTCTGTGCTACATGAAGCAAAAGTGGACTGACTTTGGCGCCGCGTGGAAGCGGCGACCTGGCAACCGAAAGATCCCCCACGAAGTGTCGGAGTCGGTGTACTATGTTCGTATCCTATCTCGTCCATCCCACTTTACTTCCGTCGGCGGCGAGGCTGAGAGATTGTATCAGTACATCGAAACGGTGTTGAAGAAACGGTACAACCTCTCGACCGAACGACGGCAGCCGCATTTCATGACGGTGCCCCATTTTGTCGTTCTGATTAAACACGAGTGGCAAAAGGATTGGCACCAGTATACCCATCCGAGAAGCCTGGTTCAGAACCACGCGGCCTGTACCCTCTTCGTCTACACGCCGTCGAGAGTGGGAGAGATCTTCGAATCCAACATGCGCCGCGGCTCCGGACGAGGGTTACTGTACAAGGTGTGAACACCGTGCCATCCAAGCTGGGATGGGCCCCCTGCTGACATTTCGGACGCAGGATGTCGTGTTCGTCGTCTTCAAGAATGAGAAAGGAAAAGCAGAACTCGCCGTGCGGGCCACGCGCGACGCGAAAGGCTTCACCAATAAGCCACACAAAAGGTCAATCGACCGAAAACTTCCTCTTCTCCGCTTCAACGGGCATCCTGCTGACATGGAGCTTCCACCAGGCCACAGCACGGAATGTACGAGGATATGCAGCCGCTGTACGCGAACCCGGTCCTGCCTCTTCTGGCCATCGCCCTCGCCGATGGCGCCTTCCAAGATTACCTCACCTTCGAGGAAATCGAGGCGATCCCGCCCCCAGTCGATGGGTCCTTACACCAACTTCGAATTCGGAAAGAGCTGCACCAGGTGCCCTTTCTCCGCACCATGTCTTCTGAGGGCCCGACCGGCAAGATTCAACCGGCAGTATCCTTCAGCAGTGGGCTGGTCGGCTTGGGCCATCGAGCGGGGTATGAAGAAAATATCCGGGTTCACGATTTTAGGAGGGAGGTCCTGGTCAAGGCCGACGGTAGGTCCCGGCTGAATGAGGCCGCTGGTAACGGAAAGCGCTGACCTCGACACAGACAACGGCTATTCGATCGCCGAGAGAATGAAGTTTGCAGGCCACGAAAATTCCGACACCTTCTTCGGCTCGTACATGCCTCAGATCAGCACCGTCGACGGGCAGGCCAGCTACTGGGGGAAGGCGCGCCGCACCGTCTACCTCGAGGGCTTCCGCGGCCTCTCGCTGCAGCACCACCCCCAGATGCTGCAATCGCTGCCGGCGAAGGTGGAGGCGAATCTGAAAGAGCGCGCCGATTTTATCGTCCTCAACGAGGAGATCGAGTCCCTCGGAGAGAGAATCCGACGTCTCCCGGTCGAGCACGACAGCCAGCGGGAACGGACCCGCCGGGAGGAGCTGTACTGGCAGAAACGCCAGATGGTGTCGGAGGAGCTCGGCCGGTGGCAGGAAATCCAATCACGGAAGGTCAACCAGGACACCGAAGTGGCGGCCTCGCCCGTCGCGTCGCTACCCAGCTTCTTCAGCCGTGTCCGGCGGCTGGACCCGCCTCGTGACCGTCTGGCCTCCTCGCTTTTTCTCGACGTTCCCCTCCGGAGCCCCGAGGGGCGAGCGGCCCTCCAGGATATAATTACCCTGTATCAGGAGAACCCCAAAGTGGCCTATCGCCCGAGTCTGCGTCCAGAGAACGGCCGTTGCCCCGTGTCGAAGTGCGCGGTAGAGATGGAAAGGTAAGTGACCCCTTTTAAGCTCCCCCCTAAGGTTTCTCCGATTCCCGTTCGGCGAACGGCACCTTACTGACTATATTCACCTCGACAGCGTCGATCTCGCGACTCGATAGGATCACATTTACCGATGCTACAAAGCCCGTCTCGCGGCCGAATACGGTACGGCCGAGTTATACTTCCAATATAACGAGTGGATCACCGGCAAGCAGGGCTAGCGCGAGCATTACCGGCGCCACTTAAATAATCTCGAGTTACTCCCAGTCTAGTGGAATCCCCTAATCTTCCGTTAGACCTTGGCCGCGGCTGGTCACTACCCCTTCTGCCTATTCAACCCGCGTCTCCCGCCCGACGAGCGGTTCCGTCAGTTCACGAAAAAGCTACCCTAGCAGCAACACCTGGACGGGTATTTTGACGGGCTCGAGGGGAAAGAAGCGCTCGAGAAGAAGGACGGGCTCGCTCTCGCGTCGGACGAGTCGAACGAGATCAAGGCGACGCCGTGTCCGAACCCGCGATACGGTCTCTCCTTTAACGCTATCGTAGATCTCCAATATCACGCCTAGGACACCCACTGCTACAAGCGGACTAAGGCCAGCGCAAGCAAGCGACGTTGCTGTACCAGTCGACCGCATTCGAAGGCCGAAGATAGCTTCATCGCCTCCGTCGAGGCCGCCTACTCTTCTGACTCCCCAGCGGGCAATCACCAATCCTACTTTGTCGAGGAAGCCGTAGCGATGTCCAATTCCGACACCACCGATCCTGCTGTCTCACCGAGAGACTGCGTCGACGCTCTACTTTCCTCAGCCCACCCACAGCTGAGTGAGGTAACTACTTCCGTCGACTCCTGCAGCGGCCTACACGCAGGCCTTCTAATCGACCCAAGTCTTTCCGATCTAGAGCAAACGAATCTCGTATCGGCGATAGGCCTTAGGACTTCCTACCCCTCCTCCGAACGCAAGTATAGTTCGATCGGTAATAGCTTATCGGAGTCGGGGCCTTATACGCTAGATACGATAGAGGCGCTATAGCCTATTAAGCTATCGATCCTACCGAGCTAGGCGGTTACGGATACGACGGCCTTAACCCCCTCGTCGGCGGAATCCTAGTAAAGGATTCGCATTACGGTTAGTAAGATAGCGGATATTGCCATAATATAAATACTCCTAGAGCCTCGACCCGCAATAGGCTAGTGGCTAGACCGCAAGGCGAGAAATCTTCCGCCCATCGGAGTAAACGAAGGAGACGATCGGATAGCGGAGGATACTCTAGCGTTCACCGGCGATGGCGAATTCCCATCCCAATACACAACCCCTAATGATGCGATCGGTTCCCTCGGGCCGGGAGAGGTCGATGACGACGCTATCTTCGGTCAGTATTTATGCTCGCCTTCACCCCCGCCCTCGCCCGCGCCCACTCTTTCACCGGACGACACCACCAGCGAATTAAGCGGAGTAACGTTGTTTAATACCGGACGCGATCCGTCCCGTAGTTGCCTGGAGTTATACGCGGAGATATCGAGGAGTCCGGCTCCAGAAATTTCGCCATCGAGTGAGATAGCTCGAGATCAAGATCACCCTTGCCACTCCGCGAATGGGACTAGCATTCATCTCCGAGTCAGCCAGCCGAAAATCACACTCCGCTTTAAACTCCCGGACAGAGGGCGCCAATCCAGGAAGAAAATAAGGAAATGGGGTCGATCAGGGAAAAGGGGGAACCCAGGAACCCAGAGAGAAGGGGAGAAAGGGAAAGAAGGTAAAGCGAGACACATCCGTTGAAGGTAGCGATCTGATTCTAGACTTGAATAAGTTAGGCAACTTCTTTAGCGACCTCCCATTACAGCTTCACAGCTGCTTAAGGGCCAGGAACCTCGAGAATTATGGTAAAGAGAAGGATGCAGCGAGGCTGCTCGAGCCGGTGGTTGATCATTATTATAGAACGAAATGAGTAAGGGTTTCTAAGTTCGTCTCCCTGATCGAAGAGCAGCTAGACGGTACGATTAAAACGTGCTGATGAAATCCAATAAAGCGAACAATAATGATGTCTCAACCCGACAACCTTCGTCCTGGTGTTTCCCACGTCGGAAGCCTTTCTCAAGCCAACATCGAATAGCGTCTTCATCCATTCCTCGAGCATTCTGTTGTGCAATTAAAATGGATGCATGACTACAAGGTACCGTGGATTCGTCTTGGAGGGGAGGATATGTCTTGCAGTCTGACTCCGGGCCTAAGGGGCCCTGAGAGGCGTCCTCAGATTGGCCGGAGATTGTGCCGCCTTTAAGGGCTGATATAGATTCCTTGTCCATCTCTGTCTTATGTTGCGGCATGAGACTGGGTTCTGGGATTTGGAAGAGATGCACAGAGGTTGGCGATATGAAAGCTGGTGATGGTTCCGGCGGTGAGACTATTGGGGTGAATGACCCGTCTGCGACCGTAGAATTCGTTGCCGCCCAGGAGGGTCGAGACTTGGATGTGGTAGCCATATCGGGTGAGCGACTGGTGTCTGTGACCCATAAGGTGGTCTTTAGTGTCTCGTCACCCATTTTCTCTAGCTGTTGTTGTCCTTCTGTTGGTGCCAACGACTCCGGAATCACATCTTCACCAGGATGCTCCTCAGCAGTCCGGTACTTCCAGTATCTGCAATTACTTTCTAGTTCCGCAATCCTCGCTCTTGCCTGAGCGAGAAGATGTTCGCTATGGTCAACCTTCTCTTCAAGGAAAGCGATATACTGTCGTCGTCGCTCACGGTGACGTCGCTGATTGTTCCGCACTCGGATCAGTGTGTGTGCAGGTGTTTTGTTTTGTGTCAGCCTGACAGAGGTAAATTGATCATCCGTTAGATACATCTTGCCCCCGGAAAAGAATTAGATAGATTGAACCGAAGGAAACTAGCGATGCTTGCGATTGAGATCACAAGAGACGTTTCAAAAAGTCAAAACCTGGATGACGTCGCCAAGACTGGTGACATATCGACATGCATCACGCCACCACCGTAAAGAGGATAGCTCTTTACGCCTGGCAGCAGGTCTGCCAAGGGCCCCTAGAATCCCAGCCCTCTCTTTGAGAGATGGGATCAACGAATCAAGAGCACAATAACACCCACTTGTGGGATTTGTTGGAAGGTGAGCATCAAGCGAGGAAGGCCAGGAGATGTCGAGGCCACATATGCGACGGTACGAAGACCGAAGTGTGCTCTCCTTTGCCTCCGCGGTTGACAGTCTTCTTTCCAAATTGTGCATCACCTAGAGACGCCAGAGGAGACATGTGAGTTAGCAGAGCCACTGAAATCCTCACAACTGCAAGTTCCCACTGCACGAGACTCAAGACAGAGTAAGATTTGCAACCAGTCATTCCTATATCCATCCATGGATCGGCACCTCTCGACTTGCCTTCTTATGTACTACCCAGCAACCTCCACCCGCCATGCTTAGGGATTGCGATGGACCTCGACATATTACCCACCACTCAGCATCTGAGCGCAGAAGGCGAGCCTGACCTTATCGCTGATGGCGTTATCACCCTTCAGGACGCAGAAGGGGTGTTCACTTCATATCGCCAATGTCTCGATCGGTTCCTTTACAACATCCTGGAAGAACATGATTCACTGACCAGCATCCGTAAAAGTTCTCCGCTTTTGACCGCCGCAGTCTGTGTTGTCGGCGCCCTTCACACTTTTTCACCTCAATATCAAGCATGTTACGAGCACTTCGTCCAATTGGCATCTGTCCGGCTGTTCTCAAAGAAAAATACGCCCGACGACATCCGTGCCCTTTGCATAGCCGCATTCTGGCTCGGCGACATATCCTCTAGTCTCATTGGAGCAGGCAGGTTTCGCCATCACTCTTAATCTGCCAGTCCAAATACTAACCTCATGATGATGTAGCGGTTCGTCTTGCAAGCGAACTGGGCATCCATCGGCACATACAGAACGCCCGCCATCAGAGGGACTGCTATCGAAATACTCGTTTATTCTACCTTGTATGCGTTTGCGACAGCCAATTATCGATTACCCGCGGAAGGCCCCCATTGGCCTGGGACTTCGGCTCCATTATTTCTCCTAAAGAGCTGCTTCAATCTGAATATGCGACCAAGCTTGATGAGAGTCTCGTCAGTCAATTGGAACTTTGGTCTATAAGCACTCAAATCTTTGACCGATTTTACCTTGACCCCGACGATGACCTGCCAAATGGCTGGATTCCTCTTACCCACCGTCTACGTACCGCCATAGAGACCTGGAAAGTCGAATGGGATGACAAACTCCTCGTCAATGAAATCGAAGCTGGCTTCGCATCCAAAGCAACCCATTTGCAATATTACTTTACGAGATTATACCTATGTTCCGTTGGATTTCGGAGGCCGGCTATTTCACAAAGCAATCATCCTCGCTCGGAACTTGGTCTTGAATTTGCAGCAGCTGCGATGCATTCTGCAGTGTCGATTCTACAAGTAATCTTAACCGACAAGGAAATTCAATCTTACTTGTGCGAACTACCTGTTTACTTCAATGATATGATTGCCTTTACGATTGGCTTCCTCTGTGAGGTGACGACGAAATATCTAGCCAATACGTGGATCGACAATGCTGAGATCAACGCTGAATTGGATGAGCTGGTTCACGCTTTCCACAATAGTACAGCTATCATGCAGCCTAAGCATCCGTTGGCTGGTGTTCTGAGCAGCATGCGACATTTAGTTGGCCGATTGCAAACCCTTCGCCAGGCACGGGAAACAGGGCATAGCCATCACCAGCAGATGCTGTCGCAGATTCATGCGTTCCAACACAGTAATTGAAGGCGAGCTGAGACACTGAACTCACATCTCCCTCTACCGGTGATGCGAATGACCAAAGTCGATGCCAACAATGTTCGAAATGAATGCCCTTATCAGATTGTGCTTGCCATTTTGGATGAGTTGCAGTGGTGGGAAAGTGGGTGGCTTCATTTGATATCGGCGATATGTCCTCGGTCCGTATCGTCCATTAGTCGACCAGATCCTCCAGATTGAGCATGACGATCTCCCAGTATACTAGGTGACTTCAGCTCTGTCGAAGAGTTGATCCCAACTGAGACCGCTTCAGGAGCTTGCCAAAGTAATTTTAAGGAGCGAGGGTCTGCAAGATAATTCGCCGAAGCTCTTCTGCGATTTCTTATTGGAATTGACGTACTGAGAAATAAACCCCGTTGAAATATTCGATTGAAGTTGTAAATCGATTGCTCAGGCCTCTGCAGATTAGGAGGTCATTGCATAGATATGCCCTCGCCAAATAAACGAAAGACCACAGGAATATCGCACCACACTGGGTTAGCCTGTTCAAAGACGCAGCCAGTCGTCTAACTCTGTTGCATGGTTTCGCTCTGGTGTTTGGACGAATGCCGACATCCGGGCGTGGAACAACCATTGCTCGAGACTAGAATCGTCCGGCGCACATTTGATGGGAATGGAAGAGGTAGTACAATGGCAGTGAGGGACATTGGCACATGATGATTAAGCTGCGAAATTTCTTACCGTATGCCTTGCGCGCATGGCAATGACGTCGAAGGCGTTCAGGCGGGTGAGTGACAAAAGACTTGACAGTTTGTCACTGCCCATCCATGATTGGCTCGTGTAATCGGAACGTGGCCTCCTTCGGCGACTTGCCTTCCATGGCACCCGCTCATAAGATGGTTGAGACGGACGGCAAGGCAAGGTACCCAAGATCATCGCAACGACTTTATTTCCGATTGCGCCGGAGCCTGCAGTACTTATCACTCGCATTTCCAGGGTCTTTCTGCCTTGCACATCATTTCCTAATCAAAATGCACGAAAGCGAGGGCGCCAGCCATGCGTGTAATTTTATATGTCGGCTGAGAAGATGGACCGGCCCCAAAGATGAGAGGACCGGGGCCAACGATACATATCAAGGAATGATTTCTGTGTGGAGGTGGTTTCGCTCCTCCCTTCGAGAACCATGTGCAGAATTCCTCGGGACGCTGGTCGTATGTCAAACCCGCTGATGCATTGAACAATCAACTGAAAGACGGGACTACAGATGGTACTGTTTCTGGAGGGCGTTGTTGCCCAAATCACCATTTCCGATCGAAAAAATGGCTCGTATTTGTCGATCAGCATTGTCACGGGCATCGCGGTCATGCTGGGGATGTTAATTGCAGGTCCGGTCTCGGGGGCCCATCTGAATCCGGCGATTACTCTTGCTTTTGTCGCATTCGGGCGGTTCCCTCTTCGAAAGGCTCCTGGATTCATCATCTCTCAGGTACGTTTTCATGAATGCTGGAGCACGCTATTATTTTATTTTCCTTCTCATTCTGTTTTGTCAACAGATACTAATCTCTTAGCTTCTGGGTGGCTTTACTGGAGCAGCCCTAGTTTATGCCAACTACAGAAGCGGCATTGATTTCATTGAAAGGCACAACATTCGCACCCATACAACAGCAATCATATTCAGCACTTACCCCCAGCCATATCTCACTAAACTTGGTCAGCTATTCTCAGAGTTTCTGGCTACAGCTCTTCTGAGTATGGGCATATTTTCGATTTCGAATACTGGGCATGCACAAGTAATCCGTGATTTGGCGCCTTTGTGGGTTTTTCTCCTCATCCTTTGCATCGGTGGTGCACTCGGCCTCGAGACGGGTTACGCTATGAATATGGCTAGAGACTTTGCCCCCCGTTGCTTTGCGTAAGCCCCACAGCAACCTGGTGATTTGAGTGGTGGCTGACAGAATCGTAGCTATTTTGCTGGTTACGGGCCTGAAGTCTGGACGTATGGGGACTATTATTGGTGGGTCCCTGTTGTTGCTCCATTTTTGGGCGCCTTATTTGGAGGACTCGTCTACAAGGCCTTTGTATACGATGATGATTTGTCGGTCAAGTAAATACTATGTTATTTTGCACCCACCACCTAGTACGGTCGTACCCGGAGGGCCAGCACATCTAAAATCCCTGTTGTCCTTAAGCCTACACTTGTTTTGCTGCTTGGGGCGGGGGTTTCGCTCTTACAGGGCCCCCTTGAGTTCCATCCACAAACAGATTGATCTCCTCAATTTCTCGGAATTCTTTTGCGCACCGCCTGAGACAGATCCCAGGTGAACTAAGTGGCGTCTCCGACACCGGTAGCAACACCTAATGTTCTTTTCTGGCTTCGGTGGATAACCTAAATCTCCTTCACTTACCCTGTTTCCTGTTGATGTGTACACAGAGAAGTAAGGACCCGGAAACTAGAGCTGTGCAACTACCAAATATGTCAGTCTATATGGGATTTCGAACCATCAGCACAGTCAAACACAAAATTGAGGTAATCGATTAAAACTCAAGGTAAGATTAAAGAAAGGCACTTCATAAAGTGTTATTAATAGCTTCTGACAGTTGCGAGCCTGAAACATGCGGACTTTACAAGTTCAGAAACTTATTCTGCTTTGTCTGGGGTAATTCGACAAAATTGGAAAGGGACCAGTCCGTTATGTCTCCAACTGAGAGGGACCGACTCATGCTTTGACGGCATAGATCTTGAATGAACCTAGATGGCGTTTAGTAAATGCTAAGGACAATGGGCTTCAAGAAATATTGCCACACGTACCCGCCCACTCATTGAAATCCAAGCCAGCGAAGTCATTTCTGCTGGCTTCGGAAGCATCATCTTGCTCGGCGGCCTTGTTATTACAACAAGAAGGCGACTTCTCACAGCAGGGGTTCTTCGCGTCTGTACCACAGCATTGGCTTGAAGTTTCAGCCCCTTTGCCCTTGTACACATTCAAGTCATGGTGGGCGTCGACAATGAGAATTTCTGTTCACAGCGGTAGAGCATCAGCAGACTTGCCTACATAAAGGGCACTCTTCCAAAGTGGCGAGAGAAAGACGACAACTTACCGTCAAACCCTGCTGCGCGAAGATACTGCTCGTACTGTTTCACTTGGCTTGCACCCGCGATACATCCCACATATAGAGCCATGTCGCGTTTCAGCTCTTGTGAAAGCTCCTTTCTCGTCAGAATGTCGCTGATTGCCACGCGCCCACCAGTCTTGAGCAGCCGGAACATTTCGTTGAACACGAGCTGTTTTTCTCCCTCTGGGACGAGATTTACGACGCAGTTGCTTATGATGCAGTCGGCAATGGCGTCTGGCAATGCCACTTTGGTGATTCGAGACTCCACGAATGAAATATTGTTGGATTGGGCCCTTTCCTTGTTCCGTTCTGCTCGCTCGAGCATGTCCTGTTGCGTACGTTTAGTGCGATCCACGCCACCGTAAGGGAGGGCAAGGAGATGTCACACCTTGTTCATATCCACTCCGATAGCTTTGCCTTGGGCCCCGACCTTTTTTGCCGCAAGAAACACGTCAAACCCAGCTCCGCTGCCGAGATCGACAACGATCTCTCCCTACTCGACCGTTAGGTGATGGATTGAAGCCTCAGGCAATACATCACGCAGTTGGGCTAGAACGCGCCAAGGGGAGGGAGGGAGGGATGTACTTCTCTTAGTTTTGCGAGCGCCAATGGGTTTCCGCAGCTTAGACCAAGATTAGCACCCTCGGGGATGCTTGCCAGCTCTTGCTCGCTGTATCCAAATGCCGCAGCGACCTTACGTCCATAGTCACTACCGTTACCTTTGACGGCAGCGCTGTAGGCTTCTTGGACTTTCTCGTAGATCTGGCTTTCGTCCATTGGGATCTCTGCAACGGAAGCCAAGAGAGCAAGAGATTGGATTCGTAATCGAAGTAAGACTAGGATTGGGAAGAAGGGCGAGGGTAGAAAGCAGGATGGTGAATGTTTCAGGGTAAGCGACACCTTGATATATCTCTGCTCATTACCCCTGATATGTCACTGCCACTCGTAGAAAGCGCGGAAGATCGTATATCACGGCTCAGTTAAGGTTCTAAATTAGGCGCCACTGGCTTTGGCCCGCAATTATTTTGTAAGCGTACTGGAAACTCTCTAATCCGTCGTGCCCAAAATCGGTAAATGATTGGGTCTTCTGCCGATATGTCACTAACGGAGCACACGAATCAGCGGCGAATATGACAAAGCTCCAGCCAAGCACATTCAATTGAGGCGGTGCCAAGATGATATGTCACGGGTGAACTGTCTCTGCCCCGTACTCCTCCCTGAACTAGGAATAGTTCCCCGATACTTCGAGCAGTTGTTCGATAGCCCGCTCGTACAGATGGGCATTAAGGTCATTTTCAATCCCGGTTTCCTTTTTGGTATTGCCCGATACCTGCTGATGAATCCACTCTTACTGGTGCCCGATCATCTGCACAAACCCTTGCAACAGGAAAAGCCCAGTGGCAGATTTCGCTTGCTCTCGTTGTCGGCCTCTCACAGGGCGCATCGGGGAGTATCAGCGAACAAGCTGGGCTACTCTGCCGAGCCTAGTTGACAACATCGATTCTACTGTAACTGCGGCCATGATCTAGCTTCAGGCTTGGTTTCATAATTTCTTTTTCTTCCTTGACTGCTGTAACCATGTATGAATATTACATGGACAGGAGTAGGAGCGATAGTGGTTATTCCTGTTAGCCGCTCGTATTGTTCCCCGCACTTGATGCGGGGTTGATGGATCCTCATGGTGACATACCGTTCTTCTGGTTGCAGATCTGCCAACAAGCGTTGCTCCACGGCGGTAAGTGTAGTCGTCCTCCGTTCAAAGGAACGCCCACATCGCCGAACTACTACAACACCCCGAAACACCTCATATTTAAGGACATCATAATGCGGACAATCGAAGGTAGTCGCGCATTTCAACTCCTTGTCTCTCAGTGCTTACAGAGGCCGTCAAATATCCGGAGGCGGTGAGACGCGCCCCGTTTGAAATCCCACCCTACTACCACACGAGATGTCGAATGAATCAGGGATCCGGGGTGTCCAGCCATCTCACTCAAGACAGTTAAGAGAATCTGACGATAACGCAATGCCACCTCCAGACGGTGGGTACGGCTGGGTGTGTTTGGCTTGCTGCTTCTCAATCAACTGTTTCACCTGGGGCGTTGTAGCCGTAAGTCACAGCGTCCGTAATCGTGCACTCGCATGGCTGTCTCCCTCCGACTCTAAGCGGTCCAAGACCCAAAGCTAACAAATACAGTCCTATGGTGTCTATCTATCGTATTATCTAACAATCGACGCCTTCCCTGAAGCTCGACCTCTGGATTACGCCTTCATCGGTGGTTTGAACTTCGGAATCGCGATGCTTTCGGCTCCCCTGATTACGCGCCTGGTGCGGTCCTACGGCATCAGGTTGCCCATGATGGTGGGAGCAGCCATGTTTGGAGGAGGTTTCATCGCAGCGTCTTTCGCTTCTCGTATCTGGCATCTCTACCTCTCGCAAGGTGCCTTGGTCGGCTTGGGTGTCGGCTTCGTCTACGTACCCAGCATCGCAGTTCTGTCTCAATGGTTCGCGAGAAGAAGGAGTCTTGCCAACGGGATCAGTGCGGCAGGTTCAGGAATTGGTGGGTTGATCTTCTCCTTCGCCACTGGTGGCATGATAAACCACCTCAGTATCGCGTGGGCACTGAGGATCACGGGGGCTATCGCGTTTTTAGCTATTCTCCTGGCCGCGATCTTCATTCGCGACCGCAACAACATCATTCGACCGCAACAACATCCCTTCGACCTAGACCTTGCATGGCGCGCCGATGTTCTCTTGCTCCTTTCATGGGCCTTTCTCAGCATGCTAGGGTACATCGCGCTCCTCTACTCACTCTCGGACTACTCGATCTCCATCGGACTGTCCAGGCAACAGGCAACACAGGTGACTGCCTTTTTGAATATGGGAACGGCACTCGGGCGCCCTTTTATTGGTGTTGCGAGCGATCGTTTTGGCCGATTTGGAGTTGCGACCAGCCTAACTTTCCTCTGCGGGCTCGCGTGTTTTGTTATCTGGATCCCAGCCTCGTCATTCGCACCAACGGTTGTGTTTGGGATTCTGAGCGGAGCAATTCTAGGAGTTTTTTGGATGGTACGCATTATCTCGCCCACACAGATTTTACATTTTTGGTGACTCACTAACTGACTAGACTATCGCGCCACTATGTGTTGAAGTTGCAGGGTTGAAACAGCTTCCTTCGCTCCTCTCACTCTCCTGGTTGTGTGTTGTTCTCCCAACCACCTGTACGTCGTCCTTGTCTGTTCTAGCTTAGGTTCTGTGCTAACTCCCCTTGGTTCAAAGTCTCCGAAGTCATCGCGCTCTACCTTCGTCGGCCTACGCACACCCGTCCCTATTTGTACACTCAAATATTCTGCGGAGTTTGTTACATCTGCGCAAGCTCTTGTCTGTGGGGTGTGCGAATGCTCTGCAAACGGAAAAGTATACACACTGAAGATAGAGAGTTGGTAAGGCCCGGTTAAGGCCCCGATAACTGGCTTCACAAATACGACTCTAACCTGCTGCTCTCACGGAGGCCTTCCTACTTTGCTTTCAACCATGGTTCAGGATTGTACTCCTCCATGAGACGCGTGTACTCCTCACCCGCTCGAGCCCAACCACTGATCCCGTCTAGTAGGATTGCACTTGTGATTCCAGAGATTTGTCGATCATCAAGTAGGTCTTGAAACCATCCGGCAGCACGAGTGCCTCGGCCCCTAGATGACCCTGAACGGCGGAAGAGTGAGTAACGACACCACGTGTGGAGATAAAATGCCTACCGCAATACCAGATTACGGTTCGTATACCCGCATTTCGACACAAACTTGCTAGAGTTGGGAGGCTGTGGTAGAGACTCTGAGCAGGAAGATTGATAGAACCTCTGATGGCCCCACCCTGTTTATTAGGAGTAAGCGTTCAAGCAACATTAAAGCCTGTCAGTTCTCGTCACCTCATGATCGGTCCTGCGTAAGTCCACCAGGAGAAAGTCTCCCCCAGGCATTTTTCCATTTTGAAGCCATTGCAGCAACTCTTGTCGACTAACGACTGCAGGCGACTGGTTTCGCGGTTTCGGATATGCGTCGTACCAGGCTGACTCTTGGGCCGCCATCCCTCAATATTGCTCCGCGAGAATGGATGGAACTCTGCGAGCAATCAAAGCGGTTTCGAACAAGTGATTATTTGGGCAGAGTGGGAGCACCACGAGCCGACTACCACTTGGCGCAGTCACTCGCCCCCGGTTCATTCGCCGAAATATTGCCCCACCCAACAAAGCCTCGCACTTAGTCACTCACATCTTTTGATTGGCTCAAAGAAATTGTCCCAGTTGCCTCCATTCCCTACTAAAATGTACGACGCCACAGAGATACTCGCACGCAGCAAAATCTCGCCTGCTGGTCGAGGCACTTTTAAAACTCCGTCCTCTCGGATTCCCTTGACTACAATCCTTTGCTCTGTCGACTGCTCCCGCTACATCAAAATGGCATACTCTCGCGATGGCCCAGGTATTGGGCCCAAACACGACTCTCTGGAGCACCACTCAACTCCACCGGCCAACATCGACGCCGAGAAACAACAAAGTCAAGAACAGGTGGAACACAAAAAATCAGTATACGCGGGACTTGGCTGGTTAGACCGGCTACTCGTCCTCTGGATCTTGTTGGCAATCATCGTCGGCATCCTGCTTGGCAATTTTGTCGGCGGTGTTGGGCCAGCTCTCCAGAAAGGCAAATTTGTCCAGGTCTCCGTTCCCATAGGTAAGAGCAATCAAACGATACTCTTCTTTCTTCCATAACTGACTGGAACTCTCTGCGGTGCAGCTGTCGGTCTGTTGGTGATGATGTACCCAATCCTCTGCAAAGTCAAATATGAGACCTTGCATCGCATTTTTGCCCATCGCCAGATTTGGATCCAACTGGGTTTCAGCGTTGTGGCCAACTGGATTATTGCTCCCCTTCTTATGGTATGTTACGCGCTACGAAGCCTTCGTTCAACTGTATGCTGAAGAGATAGCTCGGATTGGCTTGGGCCTTCCTGCCGGATCGACCTGAACTTCGGAACGGCCTCATATTTGTGGGTCTAGCACGCTGCATTGCCATGGTGAGCGCGCTCATCTATGTTGTTGAATGAAGTATTCACTAACAAAACTACGTCGAAGGTCTTGATTTGGACAGGTCTTGCCGGAGGGGATGAGGAGTATTGCGCAATTCTTGTGGCCTTTAATTCAATCCTGCAGATGGTCCTCTACGCACCCCTGGCTATTCTTTTCGTCAACGTTATAAGCCACGGCGGAGACTCCAAAGTTGCGTACTCGACAGTCGCCCGAAGCGTCGGGGTCTTTCTTGGGATACCTCTTGGAGCTGCCGTTGCGACCCGCTTAATCCTCAGGCGCATCAACGCTACCTGGTACGACCAGAAATTCCTCAAGTGGATCGCTCCGTGGTCACTTTTAGGGCTTCTCTACACGATTCTCGTCCTATTCGCCTCCCAGGGAAGGCAAGTAGTCCATCAAATTGTCTCAGTTGTGCGAGTCGCTGCGCCTCTTATTGTATACTTTGTGGTCATTTTCTTTTTGACACTGTTGATCACAAAACGTCTCGGGTTCGGATACAAACTTGCAGCTACTCAGAGCTTCACTGCAGCCAGCAACAACTTCGAGCTGGCGATCGCGGTTGCGGTGGCCACCTTTGGAGCTACCAGCGACGAGGCTCTGGCCACTACCGTCGGTCCCCTAATTGAGGTGCCGGTTTTGATTTCACTTGTCTATGTTGTGAGATGGATTGCCGGTCGTTGGAACTGGGAAGACTAGTCACATGGAATATTTGAATGCAGGCTTAAAGCGCACATGAGCGAGAATTTGTATTCTTCCTGCCTTGTCACGCAGACTCCAGAGTGTGGAGGTTGGAGAACGACCCATCGGTGGTATCTCTTGCTAGGTGGTGCCGAAGCACCCGCCGATTTATTGCCGGGCGATTGCTGAAACGGGCAGAGTGGGGAGTTTCGATGATCCGGCAAAATCGGAAGCCATGTCACTGGCCTATTTTAATTGGGCCGGGGAGGCTGTTAAATTCCTGCCGCCGGAGATGTAGGTGGTAGATAATTTCAGCGCCAGTCCCATACCCCATATGAGTACATCCGCTGGCTTCAACTCCAATTGCTTTCTATATAGGTATATGTACTAGAATGAGTCAGATGCTCGCAGTTCTTAGCAGCAGAGGATCCATGGTCTATCATTAGTTCATGGCCAGCGGCTCTCGTTCACTAAAGCGGTCACCGAACAAGGCGAAGTGCGGCCGCATAACAACGGTGTATTTCACAAATTCCTCAGCACAATCAACCAGTCGGTCTCGATTACTTCCCGGCATTAATCTCGACCCGCCTTCGTCCGCGTCCTCGCCTGTAAATAAGGTGTAGGCCTGCGGAACTGATGACTGGTTGGGGATGGTAAACATCCGCATCCATCTGCCTAGAACACGCAGGCTGTTGATCGTGTTGAAAGATTGTGATCCCCCGGAGACCATTGCCAATCCTAAGGTGCGTCCCTGTGTAGGTCGCACCGATCCAGTACTTAACGGGATCCAGTCAATTTGGTTCTTGAAGACGGCTGTAAGATTACCATGTTGCTCCGGTGACACCCAGAAGTGTCCATCGCTCCAGCGACTGAGGTCTCGTAGTTCTTGCACCTTTGGATGGCTATGCTGGTCATCATCTTTGACAGGCAGACCTTGCGGGTTATAGACGCGCACGTCACAGCCGAGCCGCCAAAGTATACGGGCGACTTCAAAGGCGAGAAGTTTCGAATAGGACCTACGCGGAGTAAGTATGTCTTAATCAGATGGACCTCGCACGTTATCTTACCTTCGACGAAGACTCCCGTACAATATCAAAACTCTAATCCTCTCGCCTGTTATTCTCAAGTCGTTATACGCCAATTCAGTCACAGTGGCGAGCTCCAGCTTGCTGACCCAGTCCTGCTGTTGGACATTGTCCGGGAGCAAGAACGGTCGATATCTCGAACGGATCGTAGGCTCATCCATAGATGCCGGGATAGAAAGCGATCGGTAGGCAAAATCAGGATGACGTTCAGGTTTTAGAACCACGCGCATGGACGACGTATTGTTTAGATCGCCATTCAATGGTAGGTCAGATTTGGAGGGGATTGGAAGGATCCGAAGATCCTGCGCTTCGGCGCAGACGGGAGGATGTCGGGGTTCAGCGGCCACCGTCATTTTGCGGGGGCTAGATGTGAAGGCGAGAGGTGGGAATCTCGATTGATTGATGGTACGAATGTGACCGAGATGATTGATACAAATCGGCGGTTTCATAAGGTGCTGGAGGGCACTGCACGAGCGAAGGGCAGTGATCCCTTAATGTCTGTGGCTCAAGAAGGCCTGGGTATTATTGGTCTTTCAACAATTTTCGGCAGTCGCGATCGCTTTGTCACTCGGCGACGATGATTCGCCATTGACGAGATTAGCGTCGGCGCCCTCGGCTATTGCTTATGTCACTCCCTCCCCTGTCGGGTGACCGTGAGGTTTTTGCCGGTGGACCTTTCTGGAGGCTTCTACTAATTAAATAAACTCTACGGCGATTTCTCTCACTTTGAGGACGCCTAAGAGTAGTCAGAGACTTATTATCACGCAATATCTGCCGCCTCATCTGCGTCACGGCCGCGTTGTCCCTCCCACTCTTCGTCCAATCATAGTACTGTCTCGAAAGAAGCGACGCAGCTCATTGTGCATTGCGACAAAAATGAATTAGGGTCCTGGTACCCCGCGAATTATGTGGCTCCGTTGTTCTACAGCATGGGTACTAGGGTACAGACATCGTATTTGCGACCCCTTCCTTCAAGTCCCTTGCTAAATATGGTAGGACTCTTTCCCTGAACGAACGATCGACAGAAACCGTCTTAACCAACGTAATTTCCGCGCTCGACGTCAAGCGTACGTCCAGGAGTTAGAGCAGCGTGTCCGGGAGCTCGAGGATGCCGGGGTGCGGGCAACAAAAGAAGTCCAGCTTGCAGCTCAGCAGGTGGATAAGGAAAACCAACTGCTAAGATGGCTGCTCAAAACCCAGTTCGGTGTCAACGCAGGCCAAATCAGCAAATTCCTTTCCGAACTCAACTATCCCACCGATTTCTGCATGCAAAGCTCCGTTCGGCTAGAAGGCGGAGCGGACATGTCTAGAGTGTCCGGGGAACCAGTATCGAGCCTGATATCGACCACGAAACCTGGAGAGGTGGTCATGCCGAGAGCGACGCAGGGTTCCCCCTTTCCAACACCGATGAGTTCGCGGGAAGAGAGACAACAAGGCGTTGGAATTGGCCCAGAATCTCCAGAATATCAATTCAAGTCTCCCATTACACCGTTAGCGGGCATAGACGCTCTGCAGTCAGGACAAGCTACATCACATGTTCATTTATTCAATCATGGACTCCGGACGACTCTCCAAACTCCACCTTCGCAGTCCCGAACCCATGAGGGCCGAAATGAAACCGAACTTGATCATTCCTGTCATCTTCAGCCCGTGGATCAGCATCTTCGAGATTCCTGTGCTACATCTGAGAAAGCTACTGATTCTTGGGCTGGAGAAACGCCGTGCGAGGAAGCCGCGAGAATCATTGCGAGTCTTCGCGGGCCGAACACCCAGAGCGATGTATGGAGTGAGTTGGGTTGTGGCACAAGTCAAAGCTGCAGGGTTAAGAACCTCTCGGTTTTCGAGCTGATGGATATGCAATGATCATTCCGTGGGATTATGCTCCTTTACTCGGCACTGTGGACATTCTCCTCGAATGGACTTTGCGAACTTTACATGCTGAGTCTTTGGGCGTAGGCATAGATCCCGTTGCATTTCGCGTAATGGTATCGGCCTAATATGTGTTTCATTGTCTAGACTCTCCATTTAATGACATGCCTCTCCATGGATTCAGGAGGCTGCCTGATTGCGCATAGCCAAGCTGATTGTTTCAATACGACTTCTACTTAGCTTCCTTTCCACAGTATGTCTTCCCGCTTCAATTTGGATTGAGTCACGCGATGTCAGAATTCTTCTCAAGGAATGAACAGTCATGACGATGAAACACAGAAAAGTTCCGGACTCCCTCCAGCCCAACCACAAGCAAGCCCGGTATCAGGCAGAAGCTTGGACTCCAATAATCCATAAAATTCTGTCACGTACCGTTGTCCTCTCACGCAGTTCTCATTTCTCCTTCGTAATGACCATGTCCTCGGTTGGTGATGCATCAATGCTCTCTCTATCACCGTGATATCTTTCTGCCAGCTCCTCCAACGTTTGACGCTTTGTCTCTGGAATCAGCAGGGTGGTGAATACTCCACAAAGCATGAAGAGAGCAAAAATTTCCATGACGTGATTCAGCCACTTGTTCGTGCCAGTCTTGTTCCTTAGGGGCCCAATTAAGGCCTGAGCGAGGACAGCACCGACTTTTCCCGCAGCGGCTGAGATACCGTGCGCTGTCGACCGAAAGCGTGTGGGATACACTTCGCCAGGGACTAGAGAAATTAGCTCTCAACGATGAAATTTCGCCAATAGCCTCACCAATGAACGTCGTAGAGTTTGCCCCGAAGTTGGAAAAGAATTGGCAAAGGACGTACAACGCTAGGAGCGTATGTGACGATAGTGAATGATAGGCAAATCCGATGACGCAGAACAATATCGTCAGAATAATGAAGCTGGCCATCTGAATGGGTTTACGGCCGATTGTGTCGATAAGCGCAACCGAAACCCAATATCCTGGGATGTTGCCGGCGACGGCTAGGATGAGATTGCCGACGGCCGTATTGTATAGGTTGTCGTAGACGTTTTTGGAGCTGGCGTACCCAATTGCACCAAGAATGGCGGAATTGTTTAAGCCTAGGCCCCAGAAGGCAACGTCAATGAAGAACCATGACCCTGCAGTTCCGAGTAAAATCTTCCCATGCCTCCATTGCCGAAAATGGGTGAAGAACTCAGACCATGTTGCCTTGGGCGCTTCGTTCTTTCTGCGGGTCTCTGCGACATAGGCATGACCTTCCTCCGCTTGTCCCTGTCGCTTACCACGAAGATATGCCCGAACATCCGCTTTCGCCTTTTCGACGTCCAAGGTGATATCTGCAGTGTACCGTGGTGTCTCTGGGATTGTCAAGCGGAAGTACACCGCTGCAAGAGCTGGGACCGTGCCGAAGGCAACAATACTGCGCCACATCTTATCGGCAGCGATCTGGCATCGCTCATCACACTGCGCCGGTGTGGCGGCCGGTAACAAGGCGTCCTTCGAAGCAACGACGCAAACAAAGGAGACTAACGCTGCCGCGAGGTTGCCAAATCCCTGCCTGCGGCATCAAGTTAGTAAAGTTCTGCTCCATTACAGTAAGACTTCTCACATTGCAAACACCGCGTTCATCAACGCTCCACGCCATTTGACCGTTGCAAACTCAGATGTGATCACAGACGAGAGAGGATAGTCACCGCCGACACCAATACCCATGACAACCCTCCAGAATATCAACGGCCCTAGAAAGGAAAGAGCGGGACCTTGGCCAGTTATCGTTTGACCAAACGTCCCAACCAATATAATGATCAATTCGAGGCCGTACATTCTCTTCCTTCCCAATTTGTCCGCGAGCCATCCAAAGATGACTTGACCAATAACTGCGCCTGCTGTCGTGGAAAGCTTAATGGCAGTATCCGCAGATGTGGGGATCTTGTGGCCCGGGAAATAGACCAAACCAATGATTGCAGTAATGAAGTTTGCGCTGAAAAGGTCATAGGCATCTGTAAAGAAGCCCGTACCAGCGACAAGGACGGCTCGCAGATGGGAGAAACCCACAGGCGCCCTGTCTACCTCAGCTAGCGACTTACGCCTCTGCTCGTGAACGCTCAACCGGGACCATGAGAATCGTTGGGGGCGGTATTGAAGGTTTCTTCCTTAGAAGGGAGAATATGAGAAGCCATCTTAAAGAATTGTATCTTTATCTCACAAAAAAATCTTGGAAATCTGCGAAAAGAAGCATTTAAGGTCGATACTCAGGTCTCAATATATATTTGAACAGGAGCTAGAAAAAGAAAAATTTCGCCAATACATCTCATTCAGTCCACACCAATGACATATGCACGTGGGTACAAATACAAAGATCTATTTGTGCATTAATGGTGGAGGTCAAGTGAAAGTAAGCGAATGTGTGGGAATGGAGATCGCCTTTCGGTAGAGGTAGCGGAAGCGTGCATTGCACGTAACGTAGGTATTAATTGACGGATCGCCTTAGACAGATAATGCGTCGTGAATTACCAACACCTACAGCTTTGTGGTAAATCAGTGTCTAGCAGTCTGATGGACAACCGTGATTATCACTCTTGCGCCTTATGACGGCACACTATAGAGGTAAGTACGTCTGGGTAACAGAGGGCCTCGTGCTGGCCAGCACAGTGCCGGTCAGAAGACACAGCCTATTCCATTCGGTACTATGCTGTAACGTCAATTCGCCTCTGATTGATGTTCGCACGTCGCCTTAGCTCGATACGGAAATGTGTCATGCAGCACTCTTCAAGCATAATGAAGCTCAACCAAGGCTTTTAGCGCCTTCGCTAGTGGAGCTTCTGGCAAGGTTGTTGTAAGGAACCAATCAAGCGCGAACACTGACAAAGATGTCTAACCTGAATGTCTCTAGCACGCTGCCACAAAGAAACATTTGAGGGGGTCATGAAGCCCTGTCCTCATTTGTCGTCGGTCGGGGAAAGACTTCAGTTCTTATAGATCAGCGGTAGCCACGTCGTTGGACCTGTTTGTGGCTCTGTAGCTTAGCTCGTAATTTGTCATTGTTAGAACCTGATTCGCTTCCCGACTCAGTGCTTCTCTCCTTAGGGTGAAGTCCTGGCGCTACCCTAGCGACAGACCACTTGCCAACAGCCATTCGTCTGGGACGACATGGCTAGTTAGCATGGTTAGGGTCAATCGGACGGACGCACTGACATACCTCCAATTATCGCAAACAAGACAGGATGTCTTGACTCCATGCCTACTCACTGCAGCAGGTGTTGGTTGAGTCTGGGAGGGTATCCACCTTTTTGAGTAGAGTCTTTTCGAAGTCTCGTGCCTTGTGGACCCGTCCCGTGTTCTTATGCTATTTCAACATACGAAACACTGCATTCCCTGACCACATAAGGACTCTGGCAGCATCGCATCTCCAGGAATAAGGGTGAAATACTCACAGCTCCTCTTCACTAGTTATCTTAAATGAACGGCACAACAGTACAAGCTTTGTCCACACTGCATGAGCAGGGCTGGGCACCTCGAATTTCAATCACAGTAAACACTCCCACCCCCTTAGACGCCGGAGGCTCCCAAAGGCCATCAAATGGTGGTGCTTGGAGTCCGCTGCAGGAGCTCAGCGGGGTGGTAAGTCTTACGAGCAGGGAGCCGCTCACCATAAAACATGCTCAAATCAGTTTTGAAGGTACTCGCTTGAAGAGCTGCCTGAAAGTTTATCTCATTGACCAGTCTAATCACCATAGGCGAAACTCGAGTTCATACTCAAAGTGTCAGCAAAGAGGACCAACGAAGAATTGTAACCCGGAAATCAAGATACAAGGTGAGTTACGAACCGGCAAAGTAGGACCAACTCTTACTTTACGTCCAGTTCCTAACTCAATCACTCGACCTCGACAATTTGGAACGGTCAAATCCCCCCGAGGCTGGATTTTGTCATTATTCTTCTCAGTTTCATTTTATTATTTCCAAGTGGGTGACACCAAGAAGCGGGAGTGCCCCGCGGCAGTGTCTTACTCTTCCACCAACCTTTTGTCATGGACCTATCTTGACAGATGATGCCGACAATACCACCTACGCTCAACCGCTGATCGAATACAATCTTAGAATTGTAGCGGTTTTCACCGACTCACACGCAACGGGAGGGGCCGTCAAAGTATCTGACCAACTGGAAATCCACATTCAGGCCGGCCCCGAGGTCTTTCCTCCTTGCGATACCGAAGACTGGTTCAGTGACCTTGTGACCAAGCAAAGCCATTCGCTTCGACCGTCCATCTTCAGCTTCCAAAAATACACGATGAATGTCATCGCTCATGAGCCTTCTCCAGTCCTGATGGTTGTGGCCCATCCATTCGAGACCACAGAAGTAGTAATTCGCGTCGTCGTCACAGCCTCACCACGCAACGTTGATATAGGGGCGTTCGCTACGTTTCTGCAAAGAATCGGGTTCAAAATCATTCCAGGACTGCGAGCAAAAACGTTTTATTCCACGCAGCCGTTCCCAAAACTCCCTGCGCAAGCTCTTCTGACGGTTGATGGGCCCCATCGACTTCACGATCAGATCCTAAAGTTGGAGCAGGTTGATCGATCCTTGACCTCTTGGCGACTCGTGGCAACTAACGCCGCGCCATTAAGTGACAGAGGAGCCATCGTTAGGTCAACAATTGGACACAAAATCCATCCTCCAAGGAGCGATCCAACGCCACCGGCGGAGTGGCATAGTGAGATATCTTTCAGCATCAAGTTGCCTAACGACGTTACGCCGACTTTTTGTAGCGCCATTGCAGCGAGACAATATAGTCTCATCATCCTGCTGAAAGCATCTGGTATCAGCATCGAAAACTTCGTTCTCGAAGTGCCGATCCAGCTTGTGTCAGCTCCCACTCTTTCAAACTCAGTCTACTGGAGTGATTCAGGAGATGGTCTCTCAAATGTCTATGAACCCGAGCATTTGGATTATGAGCAGGACTCATGTAAAGTGATCTACGATGATCCACCACCAAAGTATATATAGTTCAATTGTGCGAGAAAGATACCGAACAAATGATAGCCGCAGACAAGATGCCACCTTATAAGTAATGCCACCCATTCCCCAAAAGGCTCTCTGTTCCCGGCGATGTCGGAAGAGAGAGAACGGAATATAATCATCACGCGGCAGCACCCATGGAAGGAGCGATTCACATGACAGGCCCGTGAATGACTCTAAGAGCGAAGAGTTGGGCTGAAGGTGACATTTTAACCGTTTTCGCCTCTAAATCTGGCCATTCAGAGCGAATCTTGATTTCAATTGATTCCTATACTAAGAAATTGAAAAATTCAGTGGTTATCTGCCGGGTCCACCTATCGTAGTTTTCCTGCATCATCCAGATCACTGGTAGAAGGCGTAGCCCTCAACATTTAGCCGCATTATTCGACGTTGAATCTAGGTCGAAGAGAACTCCGGCGTCTTGAGTAGTAGCTGAGGACGCTTTGCGGAGTCGCTCCACCTCCCGCTGAAGTGCAATAATGTAATCGATTGCCCGTTCGACCGTAATCGCTTTACACGGGCCCTTCTTCTGCTTCCCGACCGCGTCCATCTGCGGCATTAAACCTTGGAGGGTTTGAATGGCTCGCGACAGCCGGTTTCTGCGATTCCGTTCGTCGATCATATGGGCCCTTTGTTTCGAAAACGTGTCGGCGAGAAACGAGTCTGGATAATTGAGGCCGTGATGGGAGTGGCTTCCTTCCTTGATGCAGCCATAGTTTGACTTGACCGCCAGAACACCGTACGAAGGTCCTGCTACAGACCCTCCTTGAGCCATGTCAGCTATCTCAACTGCGGCTCAGTGTATTAGACTTATAGCGTACGAGGCACAACCTGTTCCGTCTGAGTTTCCTTTTCACTCATTAAAACGAAATCAGGAAAATATTTACTCTCTTCTGGCGCCTAAATCATATGCTATCCGCTTGAAATCGATAGCGTGCTTGTCAAAAATAAAGAGAACACTTATGCTCACAACTGAAGGCCCCTATAACCGGTTCGGTGGGTGCTGAGGTGCGGAGTATAAGGCTCTGAAAGGGTAATTCTAACCTCTAGGGTATACATGATCTTGGGAGCACAAAGGTAGACAAATGAATTTAGAAGAGCAGTATCTTCGGAGACCTTCCGAGGCTGTGCGGTACCATGCAGCGTGGTGTGTCACCTTCTCCGTTAGATTCACCAGCCTGGACTGCTATAAACTGGGCGTCAAGGTGCGGTGAATCAATGAAGCTACAAGCCAGGCGAAACCCTTTACTGAACGGAGTTAATTTCCTGGGGGCAGTGTGATCCAAGTACTCCGTACATGAGCGAATGGGACCTGATCAGTGACTAAGTATTAGCCCTTTCCCGCTCAACTACTGCCCAAGCAGCTCTCCCCTTAGCTTTCATTCTGTCAATGGCGCTTCCTGCCTTTCCCGTCATGTGCAAGTTCACTAGCATAGATCACTAAACAGGAGGGGCTTAGTCGACTCCGGTCACAAGGTGAGCAATGAGCGAACTGCGAAGAGCAGCGCAGAAGTAAATTTACCTCACCCCCCAGTGTAGGCCTAACTCGATGTGGCTTCCATGCAGATGCCGCCCAATCTTTACGCCTTGGGGGCACAAAGCGCAGGTTGGAGATTCAGGGTGCATAAAAGGAGGCCTGCTCTTGTTTGAACCTTGACTCTTCTCACACAGCTCCACAAGAATTGAGGGAAACAAGACCACAATGGCTGCCACAGATAGGACTTCTCCGCCGACCCTGAAAGAGTCAGTGAAGCAAAGCGACTTCTCATCCATCACCGAACCAACGAACACATCCGGAAAAGAGGTATGCACAGAATGGCTGATTTTACTCTTACATCATGCAAACATGCTGACGAGTACCAGAATCTAACCACCACTAAACACATGATCTTTGAGCCTCAAAAGTTGGAGGCCAACGAGAATGTTCGTGACGGGAATTCCAACATCAGAAATTTTCGTTCAATAGCAGATCTAATTTATTTTACAGGACCAGAGAAGACCATCGGGGGGAGATACCCATAGACAAGGTTCCAATTGCACCGAATGGGTCATATGTTGTGTATTTTGCGGTCTCATGGATAAGTAGCTATCGGAGAGTTAGTCAGTAGGGCTTCAAATTGTTCTGGTGGGCGCCCCCTTTACCCGTATAGTGGACAACAGACGTCTAGTTATTGGTAGTTGTCCGGATTGTACCGAATCGCCATTCGGGCCTAGTGCTTTGTCACTGAATCCTCCTAATTCGTCGTTTCCCTTTCTGCCTCGTATGACAAACAACACGTAGACTAGCGCTAAATTACACGACTCCGGGGACTTTGGTTGGCCCGTTCGAACTTTGTGTGAGTAAATATGCTCGATTCCGTGGCAGCGGGCCATGGAGTCGCTGGGCCCGCTTGGATGGCAGTCCGCTGTCGATTTTCCGCAAATGCTTGCGGCCCCTTGGCATGTGCCGCCTGCACCTAGGTTTGAGCTGGCACTTCCTCTGTATTTGAGCCAGCTGCCTGAGGCTGCATCCGGGATTCAGCGGTAGCAGCTACCGCTCCACCATTTGGGGAATGATAGTGTGCAATGGCTGGGTGTATAGTCCTCTGATTATCCGTGCCAATCACAGCAGTCATCTCCACGTCTCCGTTATAAGCACCATGACCGTGAACGCGACTATTGTGGATCACGGCTGTAGGTGCACTCAGACTCGATAGTATCATAACAGGTCCTTGAGTTGCTCCCGCTGTAGCTATCCGACTTGTCGTTTCCTCGTGGTTTTGCTGGCGTATCAGTCGTTCTCGGTGAACCATCAGATTCGTCACATTGACGGGACAGTAGCCTGGTGGCAAGGCTGATTTCTTGCACATAGGGCATAAGGAGGAGCTGTTACGGAGAAAAAGGTCGATGCATTCGGGGTGGAAGATGTGGTTGCAAGGGAGTTCGCGGATGGGAGTTTCGCTATGGATAAAATCGCCGAGGCAGATCGGACAGGCTGGCTGGGAAAATGGTACTTGCCGTGTAGCCGCTCCGCCGGGCGTAGCTGGGGCACCTTCTATTTTCGAGGTGTAAGTATATTTCGGCAATTTGTCGAGGATATCTTGAGGAACGCTGAGGCGTCTGATTCCGAGAGCTTCAAGGTCGACTTCGCCCCTCGCGATACGCAAGGAGAGGAGGGTGCGTTGCCGTCGCTGGATCACCATGGTAAGCAGGAGGATGGCTAGAAAGATGGCAAGAGTGGTGATCACGAAGACCCATCGGCCGTCTAGCGAGCCGCGGCCCGGCATATCGTAATGAATGAGTGGCTCATCCAATGCGTCTCATCTAGTTTAGTGAGTGTCCCGGCCTTCGTGCCTGCGCTGACGTCCGCCGCGTCCGTCGCTTCGGTGGTCGTCTAACCTTGTCTTATATATACCTCGATTCGTTGTTGAGATTCCGCGTCCATAGGAGAGCAAACACGACATGAGCTACATTCGTGTGGGCCTCCTCGTCTACAGAGCTTATTACCCCAGACGTCGAGCGATGTTTTACTGCCACGACTCCGTCTTGCCACTGGTTCTTTGTCAGCATCCATTTCTACTGGGCGGGAAACACTGCTTGGCAAGACTTCCTCATTCGTTATCGAGCGTACGGAGCTGACATCGGGGAAGGGATATGAATAGAGCCAATTAGGGACGTTCAGTGACAAAGCGCTAGACTCCATTTGATTACAAGCGGAATAGCTCGCCTTGTGGGCCGCGCATGCCAATACATCATTTCACCAAAACAATCAACATGTCCAACTCATTAGGCTCGCAACAAGCGCCACGGAAGCATCGAACTCTCGTCTTTGCATCAGTCGAAGTGGGCAGCCCCTTATACGCATGCTGTCGAAGCTGACGATAGAACTTTGATATGCGACAGAAGAGTTAGGGGTTGGAGCAGATAGTACCGGAATTGGAAATTAGTTGTTCGATTTCGTTCATTAGCTCGAGTTGTCACTAATTCACTTCGATTGGCTGGAAGGTGGTACGTAAACCACGGGACCGTTGACAGAGTATAGAATTCCCCTGTGATTTGACACAAAAGGGACATTAGGCATCCTCTAGGTTCTAGCCTATCCTCACACCAGCTAGATGTGATACATTCTCCTCACGGAACTGAGAACCGTTTCTGTAGAATGTCGCTTACAAAACACACCGAAATTGCACTTGGACCATATCAGCTCATAGAATTGCTGCCGGAAACCATTCATCTATTAAATTAGCAACGGAGCCAAAAGCCATTCTTACCATCTACGGCGCGAATCAACGCCGATCAGAAGTGGTATATCAGAAGCGGTCTGAATTGTCCTTTGCTGACCAATACAACAGGATCCTTCACCAATACCTCTCTGAATTCTGCGCCACAGACGACTGACTGGTTCTAGAATATTCGTCAAAGGAGTAATGTTTCTCGATGGACTGGATCTAATTCAGCGGGGAAGTCGGATATCCATTTGAGCCTAGCGCTTTGTCATTGAACCCACCTAATTCGCGATCAATCCTATCATCTGCTCCGCGGGTCATCAGGGGCCAGTCTTCACTTTTGCGTGGACAGCGTCTTTAGCTCCATAATACTACGGGCTTCGTGCAGTGGACTCGCTTGATCGGCTGAGTGGTTGACAGGTATCGGTGCGACCGTACCCCGTGCCTTATCCATAGGCAGGTATAGCAGATGCAAAGGCGACTATGGTCGAATGGTAGGGACCCAAGAAAAATGTAATCTCGGTGACTATATCTACGAGGCTACATTTAGCCTGTCCTCGTCCTTTCAATTTCAGCAACAGGAGGGGATAACTCTCATTTCCGCCATGAAACACTCGTTTCGGTGCTTGCAAGGATGAAATCAACTATTCGAAGCTCTCGCCTACAATATGATGGGATTTATCCGACTACCAATGAGGAGAGACTCCAAGACGAAAGTAGGTCATTCTGATTTAATTTCCTTATTCTATCTGGACTCACATCGTGAACAGCCATATTGACGAGCCTGAGAAATTTGGGGCAAGTATTGCAACAGCAAGGAAAGTACGAGGAGGCGGAGCAAATTAGCCGGCGAATGTTGGCAGGTTATGAAGAAGCACTGGGACCGGATCAACCGGAGACGCTGGTATGCGTGAGCATCCTTGCGACGTTGATTCAACTACAAGGAAGGTACGAGCAAGCAGAAGAAATGAGTCGGCGAGCACTGGCAGGATTTACGACGGTCCTCGGGGCAGATCATCAACACACGCTGAGGAGTTTGAGCAATCTAGCGACGGTACTTCAAGATCACACGAAGTACGCGGAGGCGGAGGAGATAAACCGGCAGGCGTTGGCAGCATTTGAGAGGACATTAGGACAAGACCACCCTGACACGTTGACGTGCGCGAGCAATCTAGCGATGGTGCTTCAAGATCAGGGAAAGTACGAAGAAGCACAGAAGACGTACCGCAGAGCGTCGATAGGGTACGAGAAGGCCCCACAAGCGAATTACGTCTCCTCTCAGCAGAGAGGATATTACATTGAACCACAGATGATTGCTAGGTGCCTTTTTTAACATCACCTTATTGAACTGAGAGCTGGATACAAACGGCAAGCAGAAAGCGAACTCGGACGTTCAACATTCTGGCACACCGTTGCCGGTGTTTTCTCTCATTGCTCCCCTTTTGACTGGCGTCGGCAAGCACTATTGCCCGACTTAGACTCAATGGTTGCAGCGTATTTGGCAAATAAGCAACAAGCACAGGCATGGATATAAATCTGGAATGATGACGAAGCAATGGGGCCGTTATGGATACCATTTTGCTTCCTGGCAGACGTGATCGGTTTTGATGAATGAGTAAGCAAGTAGCATCCATGAGCTTATACTCGCATGCAACGGCTATCGGAGCGAAAGTGCGAATACCCGTTACCACGGTTCTGGAAACAGATCCTTGCCTCTTCACCAACTACAGTGGAGTTGGGCCGAGACCACAAGACTGCGGTATTCTGAGGCTCGAACTGGTACCAATAGCGATCTCTAACGGACGAGTAGACTACCGCGTTATCCGGGCGCAAGATGTGTGGAGAAGACTTCGTCTATGGAAGATGTAGTCGTCCACTTATTTCTTCTTTCACCGTTTGTCCGAGCGTAGAAAGCTAACTGAATTGCATGGAATGTATTTCGCCAGGGACTAGAATAGTTAGCACTAGGTGAGGATATTTCGCTAATACCCTCACAGAAAAATGTTGTGGAATTCGCTCGAAAGTTGGAAAACAAGATTTGTGGAGCCTTCACTACCTTGCTTGTTCCAAAGACAAAGCGACAAACATTGGAGAAACTGGCACAAAGATACCATGGCGATAATAAGAGCATTGATGTGTCACAACCTGAGGAAGCCACTATCGCAAAGGATAAATGAGAAGGTCATGAAAGGAGAGTAACCGTCCGCACCTGCAGTTCTAGATCGAGGGAGATCAAGTTCTGCCCCATAAACGGACTTACTTGTGATGGAGATGGGGGCAATTTGAAGTTACTAAGGTTTTCTTCATGATAGTCATGACTACTGACGTCCCAAAAATGAGGTGTGACATCGATGACCAAAGTTGTTCAGATCATAGTTGCTTGACACCGTTCCGTTATGCGAAATATGCGACTAGTTTTGTGTCATCGACCGTGCAGGCCTGGATTGTACGGTTGCATCTGTCTCAATTCATTATGTTTCGAGGTTCATCGACTAAACAGTAGAAGCTCACAACAAAATGTCACACCAGCATTTCACCTCCGTTCCTTCTTCTCTCCTTCAGCACAAGCCACTCATTCGCACCTTAATGCAACAAAGACCAGCCTACGAGAGCGAACCAAGATGCCAAATCAACTCTATTTGCTGGCCCAGGTCTGAGCATCGTACTCGTCCATCATCCGGGTGTATTCGTCTCCTGCGCGAGCCCAGCCGCCGACACCATCACGCAATATAAAGCTCCGGACACCAACCACCTGGCGGTCCTTGATCAAATCGTCGAACCACCCAGCAGCCCTACTGCCGCGATGCTGGGACGAGCCTAGATAATACGAATTAGTCACCAGATCATCTAGAAGCTAGCAGGATACTGCTCACCGCAATAGAAAATCACCGATTTAATACCGGCATGCTGGCATATGTTCAGCAGAGTTGGGAGCGAATAATAGAGACTCTGGGCAGGTAGATTTAGTGATCCCTTGATTGTCCCACCCTTTGACCCGTCAGAGTAGACTCGGCGTACTCGGAATGGAATGTGCTCTTACCTGATAGTCTACTTTTCGGAGATCTACCAACAGAAAGTCCACGCCGGGCTTTTGGTCTTTCTGTAGGCGCTCGAGCAAATCTTCTCGTGTGATAGCATCGGGTGATTGGTTGCGAGGATTAGGGTAGGCTTCGTGCCATTCCTTGTTAGCTGCCATCTTGCAAGTTTGTGCTGAAGATTCGTTGAAGCGTCGATATTTATCAATGTTGACTGTTATAGATGGTAGTTGAAAACGCTGAGCTATGAGCAATCGTGACGTCGTGCAGGTCACACGGCTTCTGCTGATTCGCGTAAGCATTAGAACAACGTGCAAGAATCATTTGCTAGGACAACCGTGAACTAGGTCGCTTTATATACTGGCATACATGGAGAACGAAAAAGTTAAAATTTTTGAAAGGGGGATGGGTCTTTGCTGGCTTTGACCAATCACAATTCAGCCATGATAAAGGCTTAACCGTATCCGAGGGCAAGCTCGTAAAGCTTCACTGGCCTAGACCAAAAGACGATTATTCTGACGGAGTGCCACACCTGGACGATATAGATCAAACGTCCTAATGAAATCCAACAAAGCAAACAATAATGATGTCTCAACCCGAAAACCTTCGCGACCGTCTGGCCTCCTCTCTTTTTCTCGACGTTCCTCTTCGGAGCCCCGAGGGGCGGGCGACTCTCCAAGATATGATTACGCTATATTAAGAGAACCCTAAGGTGGTCTACCGTCCGAGTCTACGTCTAGAGAATAGCCGTTACCCCGTATCGGCGTGCGCGGTAGAGATGGGAAGGTGAGTAGCTCCTTTAAACTCCCCCTAGTATTTCTTCGATTTCCGTTTAGCGAACGTCGCGTCGCTAACAATGTTGACTTCGATAGTATCCGCCTCGTAGCTCGATAGGATTACATTTACCGATACTATAAAGCTAGTCTCGCGGCGAAATACGGCTTTACCGAGCTATACTTCTACTATAATCGGTAGATTACTAGGAAGTAGGGCTAGCGTAAGCACTACCGGCGCTACCTAAACGATCTCGAGTTACTCCCTAACTAGTGGAATCCCCTAACCTTCCGCTAGACCTTGGCCGCGGCTAGCTATTGCCTCTTCTGCTTATTTAACCTACTTAATCCGCTCCTCCCTCCCGAAGAGCGGTTCCGTTAGTACCCTAAAAAGCTACCCTAGTAGCAGCACCTAGACAGGTATTTTGAAGGGCTCGAGGGGAAAGACGGGCTCGGGAAGGAGGACGGGTCAAATAAGATCAAGGCGATATTGTATCCTAACCCGCGATACGGTCTCTCCTTCAACGCTATCGTAGATCTCCAATATTACGCCCAGGACACCCACTACTACAAGCGGACCAAGGTTAGCGCAAGCAAGCGACATTACCGTACAAGTCGATCGCATTTGAAACACGAAGATAGCTCCATCGCCTTCCCTGCCCTCCCAAAGACAGACTGCTACGACACTCTGCCTTCCTCGGTCGACTGGTGGCCGAGAGAGGCAGCGGCTCCCGTCGACCTACCGCGATCCAGCGACAGCCCACACTTAGACATATCGATTAACCCACGCCTTTCCGATCTGGGGCTGACGAATTTCGCCTCGGCGATAGGCCTAGGAGATTCCTACCCCTCCCCCGAACGCACGCAGAGTTCGAGCGGGACCAGCCCGTCGAAAGCGGAGCGTCGCGGGCCAGACGCGGTGGAGGCGGCGTAGCCCGTTAAGTAGGAGATCCTACCGAGCTGGCCGGCTACGGATACGACGGTCTTAACCTCTCCGTCGGCGGGTTCCCGATAAAGGACTCGTACTACGGTTAGTCCGATAGCGGACGTTGCTATAATGTAAATACCCCTAGAGACCCGCTCCGTAATAAGCTAGTAGCTAGACCGTAGGGCTAGAAATCTTCCGCCCATCGGAGTAAACAGAGAAGACGACCGGATAATAGGGATGCTCTGGCGTTCACCGGCAATGGCGATAAATCTGCCGACCTCGATTCTGATTTATTCCCATCCCGTTGCACAACCCCCCGTGACGCGATCGGCTCCCTCGAGCCAGGAGATGTCGATGTCGACGCCGTTTTCAATTAGTATTTATGCTCGACTTCACCCTCGCCCCCGCCCACTTCTTCACCGGACGACATAACCAGCGAATTAAGCGGAGCAACGTTATACGATACCGAACGTAATCCGTCCCGTAGTTACTTGGAGTTATATACGAAGACATCGAAGAGCTCGGCTCCGGAAATGTCGCTAGAGAGTAAGATAGCTCGAGGTCGAGACGACCCTTGCCACTCGGCGAATCGGACATACATCCATCTGCGAGTCGGCCAGCCTAAAATTACGCTTCGCCTTCGACTCCAGGGTAGATGCTAACCTAGAAAGAAGAAGGGTAAGGGACGATCAGGGAAAGGGGGGCAATCCAGGAACTGAGAGAGAAGGGGAGAAAAGGAAGGGGAGGCAGACGCGTCAGATCTGCCGGTAAGAGTGAAGTTCATGGCGAGTAAGATCATCCGCTGTCGGTGTGGTATGGGACCAAACTAGGACGCTGATCATGTCATGAATGGCGGATTTCGGAAGGTCTGCTGTGGCACTACCGCATACAGTGGTTCCCGAAACCGCCCTCCCTTTTGCTAACACATTGCAACTCTCTCCCCCCCAAAAGCTGAGGATAGAGCTGGGTTACGCTTTCCCAATCTGACATAGTTCGACTACCTAACTACGAATCATCAACGAGTGGATTTTACTATGGTATTTCCAATACCGTACGGTCCTGGTAATAAATTAATAGCATAAGGTGTAGGTTTCGCAGCACTAAAGCGCAAAACCCTTTAGTCACCAATGAGTGACCTTGAACGAGTTTTGCCGCGGCGTTGAGATCTCTGAGTGTCATCTGTTCGAGTTTGATTATGAGGACGGGTATCCCCTTGGTTGGGTTTAGACCAGCCTTGCAGGCAGGACAGACAACGGGTTAGGCGAGTTTGAATACGTGCTGGTATGATATCTTGGTGGTTGGTCTCGCTATCATTTGACCATGATGCTTATGTCAGAGAGCGCTCGAGATTGAGGAAGACCAGAGGATGGCTCATGAGTTGCAATTATCAAATCCTTCCACAGCTTCCTGTGGGATTCGCTTGCTTCGTCGCCTCTCAATCGTAGGAGGACGATATGACTTTATGCAGACACATTCACAAGCATCAACCGAAATTCTCTATCTCAATACTCTCGCTTGAACCACCTTAGATGCAGCGCAATCAGGATGACAGGCACAACGCTGACAATCTCGCCCAATCCAGCATACTGTGGCGGAATCCGCGCGTTGACGAAGGCACCCGCGGCCAACAATATAGCGAACAAATTGTAGACAAATGACCAGGCGAAATTGAAGAAGATACGATGTAACGCCGCTTTCGACAGATCCAGTAGCACCAAAATCCCACCCAGGGATGGGCGCACAAGGACGACGTCGGCAGCAGTCTGCGCCACGTCGCTGCCACTGTTCATGTGCACGCCGATGTCAGCTTGAGCGAGCGCCACCGCGTCGTTAGTCCCGTCGCCGCAGAAGATCACAACTTTCTTCTCATGCGCCATCAGGTTCTTAAGATACACCTGCTTATCGCCAGGCGTGCATCTAGATCTCGCATGGCTAGCCGGGATTCCCAGCTTAGCGGCAACAGCTTCGACGGCACCAGTATCATCACCGCTGACTATAGAGATAGCGATGTTGCGCTTTTGAAGCTCAGTAACGACGGAATGGGAGTCTGGGCGGAGGCAGTCGGAGAGGCCGAAGACAGCGATGAGTTGGTCGTTTATTGCTACGCCGAAGACTGTGAGACCTTTGGCAAGGAGATCTTGGACCTCTGGGAGAGTCTCGGCTGAGAGCCAGCGGGTATTGCCGCAGCGAACGTTCGCGCCGTCAAAAGTGCCTTCCACGCCTTTACCGGTGACTGATTTGGAGTCCCCAATCTTAGCAGCATCAACACCCTTTTCTTTGAGATAAGTTGATATTGCGGCGGAGACGGGGTGTTTGCTGTCGCAGGTCAAGCCGAGAGTGATGGATTCAACGAGGTCGTCCTTGTTGGAAAGATAGACTGCTTCTGCGACAGACAGTTCACCTTGAGTAAGGGTGCCGGTCTTATCGAAGACGACGTGGGAGACATTGCGGGCAGTCTCGATGGCCATTGCTGACTTGAAGACAACACCATGCTTTGCTGCGACGCCTCCAGCTATGACAACGACCATGGGAACGGCAAGGCCGATTGCGCAAGGACAGGAGACGATGAGGACCGAGATCGCGTATGTGATGGCGTTCACCACTGCACGGCCGCTATTTTGATGTCGGACAGAGATGCCAATGGCAACCCAGATCGCGAAGGTTACGATTGTGAGGATCAGGATGACTGGAACAAAGTAGCTGGCGACAATGTCCACAAGTTCTTGGGTCTTCGGTTTGGAGAACTTGGCTTCGTCTACCATGGCCGCAATCGTGCTAATCGTGTTGTTGCCAGGGAGATGTGTCAGCCGGACAACGAGGACACCTGAGCCGTTGAGCGAGCCTGCGATGACGGCAGAGCCTGGGTGTTTTTCGACAGGCAGGGACTCGCCGGTCACCATAGACTCGTCGACCTCCGTCATGCCAGAGACAATCATACCGTCAGTTGTGATACGAGAGTCGGGCGTGACTTTGAACAAGTCGCCATACTGCAGAAGACGAGCATCGATCTCTCGATCGCCACGGCCGTCTGCGTCGCACAGCACGGCAGTTGCTGCCTGGAGAGACCTAATGGAGACCGACTCCACTGCCCTCTGTCTTGCAAACGCGCTGACCCAACGTCCAAGCATGATCAAGGTGACGAGCAAGGTGCTGGTTTCGAAGAACTCCCCGGTCGGCAGCGGACGACCAGCCACCTGATAGGCAAACGAGACGACGGAGAAAATATACGCAGTTGAAGTGCTGAGGACGATGAGCAAGTCCATCTCAATAACATGAGTGAAGATGAGAGCTCTCAACGCGCTGGGGTAGAATGGCCCCGCGATGGCAACCTGCACAATGGTGGCCAGAACCAGTGAGGCGCTGCCGTAGACGATGGGTCGGGGAGGGAGGGAAGCCCAGGCCAGCACAAGGACAGGAATGGTGAGAATGGAGGAGAGCAGAGTAATCCAAGCAGTATGTCGAACGTGTCTTTTTCCGCTCTCAAGTTCCGAGGACCCTCGAGGATCGGCGAGTGTCAAAGGCTTGTTGAAACTCTTCTCGAGAAGTGTTCTTACTCCAATGATTTTGGCGTCGTATTTAATGCGTACGATGCGCTTGTCGGCAGCGATCATTTGAGTGACCCCGTCTGGATATTTGCGTTCAACAAAGGCCTTTGCATCATCGACAACAACGTCAACTTCTTGTCCTTCGTTGTTGAGTCGTTGACAGGCGAAGCCAGTGTTCTTTTCGACAGCCTTGATTACCTCGGCGACCGGACCGGCCTTTTCGTCAAGGTCGAACTCGGCTTGTGACAGCACCAGACTGGTACGAAGATTGCAAACTCCAGGAATATCGTGTAGAGATCTGAAAAGTTTAGTCTCACAGCCAACGCATGTAAGTCCCTGTACGTCCAGGACAACGTGCTCAACCGCCAAAGAGCCCTTCTCAATGTCGATATGATCTGTCACCTTTTCATCGTGTTTGGCAAATGAAGAAATCTCATCTCTGGAGCCGGAGCCAGAGCCAGAGCCAACACAACAGGCATCCTTTGAACATCCATCCTGGTTGGAACTGCCAGAACCGGGGCAAGAAGCGTTAGTTGCTTTCATGCCAGTAATCCCTTTGTCGGCTCCAGTCCAGCAAGACTCAGGAGCGGATGGTACAATCTTAGACGTTTCGTCGCCGCAGCAACCGTCTTCCTTCGCAGTGGAACATCCAATTTTCTCTGAACCGCAGCATTTGTCTCTTGTAACCCCAGAATGATTGTCTTCCTCGGTAACCAAGCAGCAACTTCTGTTTTGCTTCGCAGCGGAGGGGACCTTGAGCCCGCGGCAGTTGATGTCCTCAGAGGCACCGCAGTTATCCCTTGTCGCAACGTAACAGCTAGACTTTTTCTCGGTATCGCCACACTTATCGTCGTTTGTCCCAATGCGGCTGCATTTCTGCTCGGCACCGCCACAATCAGCTTTGCTTGCACCGGAGTAGGCACCATGTCCCTTCGTGCTACAAGAATTGCCCTGCTCCTCAACACCGTAGCTATCATCTTTCTTCACAGTTGAACATCCCAATGTCTTCTCGGAACCACAGCGTTCGCCTTTCTTTGAAGAGCTCTCGACATTATCGCCTCCACAGGATCCCTTCTTGATACAATCGCTCCCATTCACAGTCGTATTTAGAATCGACGACGAGCTCGTCTTCCTGGCAACAGCCGTTGTGCTCCAAGTCTGCACGGGCCTACCCACTTTGCAACACGGTTCGAGGTTGCGCGTTATAAGCGCTTTGCAAATGCAACCCACTTGCTTGAGGGTGGTAGCGAATTGTTCACGGGCGCTGCGGGAATGGGTGCCACATGCCCCTTGCTTGCGCTTGCGAGTTTGAGGGGAAAGGACGGAGGACTCGGGCTCGTCGGGAGATGTTACTACTTAACGAATTAGCACTACTCAATTAAAGCATCGCAAGGGGTTAAATACTTTTGTCACGGCTAGAGCTTTTTGTCTCAACTGCGCCGCATTCCAAGGTACATTGCCGACGTGCCACGGTCTCGAGGCAACTCTCTGTAATTGAAGATTCATTCAATACAAGGTTCATTCTAGGTTGGAGGCAGAACTTACCATCGCAACAAGGCCCAGCATCTGGGCGGTGCTCCCAAGTGACCCCATCAGGGTGGCAGGCAATGCACGGGGCGAGAGAGGTTCGAGAGGATTCCATAAAGTCGAGATGACCGAATAACGAAGGTCGAATGAGTTGTCGACGCGAGAGGCAATAAGAAACGGCGGGCAGCGGAGTCAGAAAGTGGCTTTTGGATAAAAGTGAAGCAGTGCTGCCCGTTGCTTGCTGGGATTTTCAACCCCTCTCAGGCGGAGTCCGAGCGATGAAATGGATCAGTCAGCCCAGCAGTCTGTCATTGAGAATGTAGCCTTCGTTAGTCCGTCTGCGAGTGGCATTAGCTTCTTCAGAGCTTGCACGAGTTCCAGGGAAGGAACCGATTTTGGGGAACCTTGGACCCAGCAAAAAGCAAACGGAGCCAACTCGCCAAGACTTCGTAAGATGGCTTGGACGTGCACAAGTGGACAGCTGGTGTTTGCCTGTGTCTGGGGCGGCAAGAGCGTAAAGCCACGCTGCAGCTAGTGGAGGACTTCTGTGGTGATCGCATTCCTTGTCCTTTACACGCCACCGTACTAGGGGGTGTCGGCTGTTCTTCAATATGTGCGGAAGTACCCAACAGGGGTACTCTGGTGCACGAGACGCATTGCAGACACTGACTATTTTGCAAGTTAAAATTACTTTTTTGAGTAGGGTTGAGTAGGGTTGAGCGGTTCGAGCAAGTTTGAGTTGAGCGGGGTTGAGCGGGGTTGAGCAGCGTTGAGCAGCGTTGAGCAAGTTTGAGCACATAAACATCAAAGCAGCCACCTCCGTACACCGGCCAAAATCCGCCCAGTCACGTAATGTAGGGTGGCGCAGACTTAGCAAACCTAGGTAAGATCAATCGTACCTGTTTCTAATATGCGTCTGCAGCGGTTATTGTTGATTCATTGCCCTCTGGGACAACTCAGTGCAGTGATCACTAACCGTTCACCATCTAGCAACCAGCATCTAGTTGCCAGCAAAACATTTCGAGCATCGATCAAGTCATTGATGATTGTTTCAGACGAATGGCACTCCATCCACTTCACCCGCCGCCCGCGGGCCATGTCACGACGACTGTTCTGATAAACAACGTCCACTGTGCCTCCTGCCTCACCTACATCCAGGAAGTCCTCAGTACATTACAGCCAGCGCCGTTAACGATTACCGCGAACTATATATCACACGAGGTGACGATAGTCCACTTTCCAGACCACTCTGCAACTGACATAGCTCGAGCTTTATCAGACGCAGCATTCGAAGTGCAGAGTGTGCAGACCGAAGATGAATCTGGCAATGTTATCTACGAGCAAGATTTAGTCCAGACCCATCAAGAATGGTTGGAGCAGGCTGCTCAGATGCTGAGCGAACAAGCATCAACTCTGTCGCGGCACCAGACGGCAGGACATCATGAATCACGAGACGATGCCGGCTACCAATTTGATGAGAAGCATTTAGACCACTGTGTTCTTTGTCAAAAGGCGAACGAAAAAGCCGAGACATCTCAGGATGTTATCGTGACCATCCCTGAGGCGCAAAAGTTTACAGCCACTCTCAGTATCACTGGGATGACTTGCGCGGCATGCATCCTCTCCATTAATGAAGGGGTGCAGGGACTCCAATTCTTGACGGATGTCAGCGTCAGTTTACTTACCAATAGCGCCACTGTCGCCTTTACCGGCCCGAAGGACAACATCGATCAGATTGTGGAGAGAATTGAAGACAGAGGATACGACTGCCACATCGAGAGCATCGTTGAAGTTGGACAACCACAGCAAACAAAAGAGCTAGTGGAAAGGACAATCATGATTAGAATAGCAGGCATGTTCTGCGATCAATGCCCACGACGGGTTATTGAAGCTTTATCATCACCGTTTCAGGGACGACTTGCTATTGACAAACCGCCGTCGTACGATGACCCCATCATCATCATGACATATCGTCCCCAACCCGGCATCATTACTATCAGAAGTATCCTTGCTACTATACATGGCGTCAGCGACCAACTCAGAGCCACAATATACCATCCTCCAACGATCGAAGAGCGCTCTCGAACTATGCAGCTCCGCGAACGGCGTCGTCTACTCCTGCGGCTTCTCCTTAGCTTCATCGTCGCCATTCCAACCTTCCTTATCAGTGTGGTCTGGATGAGCCTTGTTCCCTCGACCAACCGCGTACGAATATTCTTCCAACAAAATATGTGGATTGGTGCCGACACTCGCGCCGAGTGGGCGCTTTTCTTCCTTGCGACGCCTGTGATGTTCCTCGCTGCCGACGTCTTCCACACCAGGGCAATCAAGGAGATCCGAGCACTGTGGAGCCGGAATAGCAACGTCCCCGTTCTTCGAAGATTTTACCGTTTCGGAAGCATGAACCTGCTCATGTCCGCTGGAACGTCGGTGGCGTACTTCCCTTCGATCGCCGTACTTGCTCTAGAAGCGCAAAAAACTGGGCAACACAACAGGCGACTGTCGACATACTTCGACACGGTTGTGTTCTTGACGATGTTCATTCTCGCTGGACGCTACTTAGAAGCGTACAGTAAATCTAAGGCCGGTGATGCTGTCACAATGCTCGGAAAGCTTCGGCCAACCGAAGCTCTGCTCGTGAGATCCAATCCGGAATCGGAAGATAGTGAGTTATCTCTTCCGATAACTAATGGCGAGAGAATCAATGTCGATGTTCTTGAAGTCGGAGACGTTGTCCGAGTACTTCATGGCGTATCTCCACCAGCCGATGGCACGATCATCCTAGGCGATTCCACCTTCGATGAGAGTTCTTTAACCGGAGAGTCTCGGCCTATTACCAAGAACACGGGCGATCAAGTCTTTGCTGGAACAATCAACACCGGTAAACCGATTAATGTCCGAGTCACTGAAGTCTCAGGCGCATCTATGCTTGACCAAATCGTCAAAGTCGTTCGGGAAGGTCAGGCAAAAAGAGCGCCGGTGGAGAGAGTGGCTGATATCTTGACGGGATACTTCGTTCCCGTTATTACCCTCATTGCCGTATCAACATTTGTTGTCTGGTTTGGACTAGGCCAGGGAGGGGCACTCCCGGAGAACTGGCTTGATGTCGACACAGGTGGCTGGGCATTCTGGGCATTACAGTTTGCCATTGCAGTCTTTGTCGGCGCGTGCCCCTGCGGCATTGCCCTTGCGGCGCCAACAGCTTTATTCGTGGGTTCTGGACTGGCCGCGCAACACGGAATACTGGTTAAAGGTGGCGGAGAAGCGTTTCAAGAAGCTTCCGATCTGGACGTGGTTGTCTTTGACAAAACCGGCACGCTCACCGAGGGCGGAAACCCGACTGTGACAAACCATGATATCATTGCTTCTGGTGAGGAGGAGACGAAGGCCATCTGGGCAATCGCACAAGCACTGGAGGAGTCTTCAAGTCACCCCATAGCAAAAGCAATTGCTGCGCTCTGCGGAGGACAAAGCCGCACTACCATCGCCGACTCTGCCATTGAAGAACTGCCTGGTCGCGGTCTCAAAGGCACATTTACCATCCATACATCAGCCAATGACACCCGGTACGAGGCTGCCATCGGCAGTGAAACTTTCGTCTCCTCCCTTGGCACTCCTATAACTACAGACCAGTCCAACATTATGGCGACATGGAAATCCGCTGGGAAAAGCGTCGCGCTTCTGGCTGTGCGTCCATTGTCCCTCTCAGACAGGGACGAAACCACTTTTAAACTTGTTGCACAGTTTGCAACCACAGATTCTCTCCGTCCTGAAGCTGTTTCCGTCCTTTCTGCCCTACGTGAGCAAGGGTTAAGCATCTGGATGATCTCAGGCGACAATGCCATGACCGCTATTGCAGTTGGGCATCAGCTAGGTATCCCGGCGACCAATATCATTGCCGGTGTTCTCCCTTCGGAAAAGGCGGAGCGGATCCGTTGGCTACAAAATTCCGCCCCTAAACGCAACGGCAAGGCGGGAAGAGCAATGGTGGCTATGGTTGGGGATGGCATCAATGACTCTCCAGCACTCACTGCCGCGGACGCCGGAATTGCCGTCGGCTCTGGCTCAGATGTTGCTATATCAAGTGCCAAATTCGTGCTAGTGTCCTCAAACCTGCACTCCTTGTTGACTCTTATCACACTCTCCCGCACGGTTTTCCGGAGAGTCAAGTTCAACTTTGCGTGGGCATTGGTGTACAACGTGGCCTTGGTGCCAATTGCGGCAGGAGTGATTTATCCGGCACCCGGACACCCGAAGTTGAACCCTGTGTGGGCGAGTCTGGCCATGGCGTTGAGCTCGCTGAGCGTCGTATCCTCGAGTCTAGTTATGAGGACAGGAATTCCTATCATTGGGTTTAGAGCATCCAGGAAGACATAGTGGAGATAGAGTCCAGCAGGACTTTCAAATCCAGTCAGGGAGATCGCAGCTGGAGAAGACTTGTGATATTTACCTCAGGATGATTATTATCGCTTGTAGAGGGTATATAAACGAGAGGAGAATATATCTAGCACAAGGGCTGCAGTAACCCATGACATCTTAAACGGCCGAAGGCATTCAGCCAAAGTGATATTTAGATAGCTAGATGTGAGGCGTTGCCTCGAGCGTAACCTAAGACGAAAGGAGACATCTGTTGAGACAAACATCACCCAGAGGCCGGAAATCCAGCTACAAAACGTTGTTCGGGGTATTCTGTCATGCTACGTGCCAGAGGTGTGGTAATTTTAGGCAAAAACAGCATGAATGGCATTTCCAGTGTCCTGTTAATATGTACATGGATATATTTCGATTAATAGATTTCACCCTGATTGCGGACTGGGAGATGTGTGGAATAAAAGTATGTCCATGCCCAGGGCATTTCCGGGAATGCACGTTACAAGGTCGCTTTTTATTACCAGGACCGTACGGTATTGGAAATACCATAGTAAAATCCACTCGTTGATGATTCGTAGTTAGGTAGTCGAACTATGTCAGATTGGGAAAGCGTGACCCAGCTCTATCCTCAGCTTTTGGGGGGGAGAGAGTTGCAATGTGTTAGCAAAAGGGAGGGCGGTTTCGGGAACCACTGTACAGTATATGCGACCCCACTACGATTTTGCTTTGGAGAGCCCCCGTTATGGAAGCCATCCTCTTTCATATCAACCTGCCGGCCCAAGTTCGGAGGGGCCGCTTTGGGACTTCAAGTGTTGGCTTGAGCTGGGGGGCCGAAATGGGTAGATATCTACAAGGGAACCCGAAAAGATCCTATCTTTATCCTGAAGTGGTGTTAATATTTACTGCTCGCAGAGCTGGCTTCTAATTCTCTGTCATGCTGTGGACCGTCCGGAATCCACACATGAGGAAAGAAATCTCTTCAACGGGCAGGAAGACATAAACAGGGATTGTGTTCCACGAATGGCAAATCGTCCGTCCAAGAACCAAAAGCGAACCCAGTGGAATCGGAAATGTCGAGAAAAGTTAGCGGCAAACATTCGTAAGATCCACTGACGTCTGGTCGATGCCTCTGATAACGCCTCTGTAGACAGCAGGCTTGGAATTACGGTCGAACCCTCCCAGGTACGGCTCAAAACAAACGACGACGATCCATATACATGGGAAAAAACCGAAGCGATAAGTCACCTCTTTACACAGAACCTGAGTGAATTCTCTATTAAGTCTCTCCAAAAACTGTGTGAATGTATCGACGATAACTGTGTCGCCGCAACTTGGAAGCCTTCCGGCAAGGCGCCTCGGACGACCCTTCGAGGAAATATGCAGGTAGACAGACCTGTTGTGCATGTTTTTCACCCAGGCTATCAGGCTGACTGAATATGTGAAAGCAGGGCCATTTCGTGAAATCAGACGTGAGTTTCACGGCCAGGATTATCGAGCTCGAGAAGACCGAGGAGAGTTTAGCCTGCGAGCTGAACGAGTGGAAGGCACAAGCCAGCCTAGAGTCAGAAGGGAGACAGAAGGCAGAAGAGGAGGCGACTCGAATGGAGATCGCCCTTCGAGAGGCCCGAGAGGATGGTCGAAAGCTCGAAGAGTATATCCAGAAATGGAAAACCGAGGCAAAGAAATCCAGTGACAATGCTGCTAAGTCTAGGGAAGTCATAGACGCAATCCTTGCATTGCTCAAGGACTTCGGTTCGAGCATTCAGGAGGAGTCCTTTGGCCTCAAACCGAGTCCTCGGACATAGGATTTCAGCAGCTTCAGATACTTTGCACTATTTCGAACCTGAAAACCTGTGGGTTGGGGAACCTCGTTGCGTTCTAAGTGATCATCTGCAACGCCCTCGTTGGCATCGTCCTCGGAGCGCACGCATCAAGTCGCAGTGATCACTCTCCCGCGAGCTCAGCGACTGGAAAAAGTGACCATTTTGGGCTCGCGGCTTGATTTGGCTCCCTTGATCTTCCACATACTCCCATTACTTAGGGCCGTTTTGGGACGCTGTCACCCTCAATGGCTTCGCTAGATCACCAAAGGTTGGTGGCTTGCTAGACACTCTAGCTCTGCTATTTTAAAGAGACACCGTACAGCACCGCATCTCGCTCAACTAGACTCGGCCTTTCCCAACAGGTTCTCAGGAAGCTCACAGCCTTCAACATGGCTAGCTTGAGACGACTCGTCCTTGCCGTGGCATTGTTCGGCATCTCTTCCGTTGCCTGCCTCGGGACCGCTGCTATCGAGAATCGGTGTGATGTCGAGGTCTATATCTGGAGTATTGCAAATGTCCCCAACGACACAATTAATTACCTGGAGCCAAATATCGGCAGCTACAACGAGACATATCGAGTTAACCCAAACGGTGGAGGCATCTCGTTGAAGATTGCCACGGTTCCCGACGATTCGTTCATCACGCAGTTCGAGTACACCTATCACCCTGACAATCCGATACTGGCGTATGACATCTCGAATATTAATGGGTATCCGTTCGAAAACTGGGGCCTCTACCTCTCACCGTCTTCCGGGGACTGCTCCAGCATCACCTGCGACCCGGGCGTCGCTCTTTGCCCAGATGTTTACAACCAGCCAAATGATGACTTTGCCGTCAAATCCTGTGACGTGTCGGCCAACTTGACTCTCACTTTGTGTCCTCCTCAAACCACGTCCTTAGAGACGGCCACGGTGACTGTGACGACGACTGACTCCGCGGGTGATGCCATCCTGACGACTCTGGCGACGACTATTACGTCGGTTGGACCCGTGACTACATCTCAAGGCGCACTACCCGAAACTGTTACCGTGGACACAGAAGGCTCTTCTACGACGACGACAACGACGACAGCCCTAGAGCCTGTTGTCGTGACTTTGATGACAACCGACACCGCCGGCGATCCTACTTTGACCACTCTGACGACGACCATTACGTCGGTTGGGCCGGTGGTCACCTCTCAAGATACAGAATCAGAAATCGTTACTACGGACCCGGCCACCGCGAGTATGGTCACTGTCAGTTCAGAAACCATTCTTAGAGCCTCGGAGACGACGGACGCTGCTGGTCAACTTTCGCTAACCACACTCACCACCGTAATTGCAGTTACTACTCTGGATTGATGGAAATCTGATAGATTATCGAAAAGCTATGACTTGTATCAGCGGAACACAGAGTGCGAATATAGGCACATTCACAAATGCCAAGGCAACTAGATCCCCCCGGGGGGGATGGGGGAGGGCGCTGCTCTGGGGTATGTTGCTGCTGCACGAGTACGAATTTCTACATATATGGAGTCTTTATGTATCGGTTTGAGATTGTCTTCGGGCAATTTTGTAGCCTTGTCAACTTCCAGCATAGCCTGTTAGAGTGCTGACGGCGAGATCCTAGACCCGTTGTCTACGAAGGCAGTTCTATTCGTATTGGCCAATAGGGCCACTATCGAAGGGCACGATGTCCTTAGAATTATCACAGTGAAAGGGAGCCAGGACGCAATATATTCACCAAATAGGTGGCGATTACACGAAGTCTAAGAGAGAAAAGCTTCGCCATCGATTGGCTGACGGAGAGTGTGGTGAATGCAGCACTACGCCTGCAAAGCGACGTCCTTATACGTTGCTCCAGAAACAATGCATCTACTCAAGGTGCGGCCATTGCAAAACCAGCTCGATCATTCATTTGTCAATTAGCTGAGACCCGTATCGCGTCGTAAGAAGTCAAGTTATGCGCATTCAACTGTCCAATAGTATGGCAAACATGTCCAACTATCATAGCCCTTCACGCGGTCGTAAATTACAGCAACCAGTCTGACATGTTAGGGCCTTCGAGAGTACGGAATAATCCAATCTTGCGCAATTCGATCCTTTTCAATCCGCAGCAACAAGGACAACATTTCCGTCGTCACCTTTTTGAATACGGTACGCAGCCCAACCAGGTCTAGGTAGGTCAATGCTGCTATCGTTTGTCAAAGCCTTCATAAAAACACCATGCGTGACCAAAGCCACATTTGGCCTCGAGGATTTTTCGCAAGATGCTACCAGCTTTTCCAACGTCTCTCGAAGTCTCATCGCTCGCATTTTGACGGCCTCGTCGTGGTCGGAATAGGAGCCCGTCTTTGACCTCCATGTTGCGTCCTCCGCATCTGACAGGGGCGAGAAGTCGATGTAAGGAAAAATTTGTTGCAGGGACTCTCGAGTTGAACAGGTATCGCAGGGAAGGGCGCTCCGCTCCTGCGCATCTGGGTCTACAATGAAGACCGCGCCTGCTTCGACCCCGTTCCCACTTGCTGGGTCAAAATAGCGCCGGTCGAGGACGTTGGGGAATACAGCAAACGCAGTCTGGATTGCGCGTTGCGACGGGGATGACAAGACAACGCCCACAGAATCTGGTTCCGGGAATGACGAGGCCAGTTGTCCTGCAGCCTTAGTCCCAGATTCCGTTAATGCAGGATCAAGCCGTTCAAAGTTTTTGTCAACGTTATGCTGGGACTCAGCATGTCGCAAGAGAAAGACTTTGCTACCGGACATAGCTGTGGTTTCCGAGCTGCCCTTGGTAACGCTCAGGTGTAGTATCACAAGATCACCGAATGCTCGAAGAATACTGACGCGTGCTGTGCTGATCTTGCTAGATAGCTATAGAACGATAAGGTCTGCGGCTAACGTTGAGCGTGCGCAAGTTTATTGCAGGCAGCAAAGAATCCCGGGAAAACCGTGATCCGGCTCGGCGCCGAGGAGTAGCAATCAGATTCTTGGCAATGACGCCATCCCAATGCCGAGATGTCCTTGGTGTGCACCTGTACGCGATCTCCGCCATCATTGGCTGGATGACTTCGCCAAATTTAAGGTCACGATTCTGATTTTGAAAAAGCCCGAGTCTTGAATCTTCAAACTTCATTGATACCGCCGACGGCATCAACATGCCCCTTCTCTCGGCTTTTCGCGCAGTGCGCGACTATTCGCGCGACCAAAATAATGCATATCTCGCCAACACCGATAAGTTTTTCTGGCGCATGGGAGATGTTATCACGAGAACTTGGGATCTCGGGTTTACGGCGTTTGGCGGCCCTCCCGTCCACTTTCAAATCGAACATCGTCGATTTGTGCAAGGAACACATGGCCGCATACCATGGATTGAAGAACAAGTGGTAAGCCGAGTGTCTTTTTGCCGGCTCGCGTGGTGGGAGGCTGTATGGTAACAGTTGTTTAGTATCAAGAACTGTTCGCAATCTGTCAAGCCTTACCCGGGCCTGGTAGCACTAAGATGTTATTTTGTATCGTTCTGATACATGCAGGTATACTCTCCGCATTACTCACTTTCCTGATTTGGAGGTCAGTGTTGGTCTATACCTCAGTCATTGTGTAAACCTAACCCTTGCTGCGTAGTCTGCCTGGAGCAATCGGCATGTTTTGTCTGTCTCTGGGAGTTCGTCATATCAACGAAGTTCTCCCTGCCGTTGCGTACGCTTTCCTTTCTGGCTTGAATGCATCGACAGTGGGCATTGTCGCGCTTGCTGCCGTCCAGGTAAGGCGCCTCTGACAACTCTTCTCCCCTTGGCCTCTTTTCTCTGACGTAAGCTAGCTCGCAGAGAAAGCTATCAAGGACCAGATCACTCGCATACTGGTAATCTTTGGCGCTTGCGCAGGTCTATGCTATACGGCCTTATGGTACTTCCCGGTTCTTATTATCGCTGGCGGTATTGCCACCGTTATTTGGGACTTGTGGCTTAAACAACAAATTGGAAAAATCAAAGCTAAACGGGCGGCCAAGAAGCGCGAGCAATCTCAGCCACCTGAGCCACCCGAGCCTGCGTCTGTCGAAGCGAACGAGCCAGCCAATCTACCTGAAAGCAACACTAAGCCGAGCCAGCAAGGTACTGGTGTTCAACGGAGGCATGCAGCACAGACAAGCTCGCACACTGAACCAGGCCCGAAGACTGAGGCACCGCAAATAACTGAGGAAGTTGACCGTACAGATATGAAGTCCTATGCGATACCAGTAACAATTGGTTTGACTATCATTGCAGCATTTTTTGGTAAGTCTGTTCTGTCTTCTATACGGTTCTCGGAACTGACCTAATCTAGTCTCGTTCATCGCCATCCTCGTTGCCCGAGGAGTCGTTGACGATCCGCCGAGACCGCTTGATCTCTTTGCCAACATGTATCTTGCCGGTACCATCATCTTCGGCGGCGGTCCTGTCGTGATTCCGCTTCTGCGCGAATACGTCGTTCAGCCCGGCTGGGTCTCCACGCGAGACTTCTTGATCGGTCTCGCCATCATCCAAGCATTCCCTGGCCCGAACTTCAATTTCGCCGTCTACTTGGGGGCGCTTGCCATTCTGGGCACGCCCCACTCCACCGTGCTGGGTGCTTTCCTCGGCTTTATGGGGATCTTCACGCCGGGAATCACACTGGCTGTGGGGTTCCAGAGCCTGTGGGCCACCTTGAGGCACAAGCCGATCGTGATTAGTCTGTTGCGCGGGATCAATGCCACCGCTGTTGGACTCGTGTTTACCGCTGTCTACCGGCTGTGGGAGATCGGCTATCTGACTCAAGAGAGCTCGAGCGGACAGAGTTTGGGTCAAGATCCTTGGTGGGTGGTGGTCACCACTCTCACATACGCTGGCAATGCGTGGTTCAAAGTGCCTGCTCCTGTAGCTATCATGACCGGAGGACTGTTAGGTCTTTGCTGGTATGGTGCTGTTGGGCGATGATTACCTAGAATAGAAGCATATTTATGGGTGCTTTCCAATGCGGACATAATCGAGGAAGATTGGCAGGAGTGTTTGTTTCTCTTGGGTAGAGTAGTTCAGCAGATAGGCCCGGACGTTGAGGCCGGCGTGCCATCACTTGCTGCGCACATTCTGCCAAACCAGTTCTACAAATGTCAAGACAAATCGGGATAAATTACGATGAGAAAATCAGCTGTAAGCTGGTATTGAAATTACGGTTCTTATTGGCTGCTCATTCAATAAGATCTTACTATTAACGGAAAACCTCACCTGGTCAATCGTCCCCACTTTCGGCTAAAAGAGTAGAGAAGAGAGTTCAGAGAGGAAGCCGGTTCTGCATTTCACTGTAAGATCTTTCCGTGTACAGTACTGTGCAGTAGTAGTTCTCCACGGCCTAAAATTTCAGGTCCAGTCGTTATTAGGGCCAATTTCGTCGCCCGAATAAAAATGATGGAGTCTGTATACGGCTCTTGAAAAGTAGTGAGAACCAGATCCGGCCCCCCCAGAAGCCGCATATAGACCCTCTTTTCACATTAAGCCTTAGAGAAAGTCCAAGTATATAGCACTTCGTCCAACTTCATTATCTATCTAAGGAAAGTACTGTCAAGGAAACAATGAGCTCCTCATCAACGTCCCTGCCGCTTATGGAATTTCCTAAGAATTCTTTGTCTCCCGCACCCGCGGCTGAGGTGAAACGGACTCCAGCATCCGAGAAGTATACGCAGCAAGCGACATTTTCTCAAAGACGATATGTGACCGTTCTCCCTCCAAAGTTGAGGGAACAGCCGTCTCGTCCAGACTCTAAGTTTCCACAGGCTCCTCTCCCACTGCCTTCGTTTCAGGAAAACAAGGCTCGTCTCCCCAGGCCACTGTCGACGAATCCGCCACTCTCACAATCTCGATATGTGACGATGCTCTTAGAGCTTGATGAGATTCCACGTCGCCACAACTTCTATGCCAGCCTATTGACGTGGTTGATCCTGGCTGGATACATTGTATTCCCGGGCACGTTTACCTCTCTCAAAAGCTCCAATTCGGTGCAAGAAGCGGCAAGCGAGACTCATGCAGGGAAAATAATTCTAGACAGCGTTCAGAATGCCTCGCTCCTCTGGATAGCAGGAGCTTGCTGTCTCTTTGGAGTCGTTGGCATCGCTTTACTCTGGAAAAGATGGAAGAGGAACTACATTTGGTTGGTAAATCGAATATTCTTGTAAAGACTACCTAGCTAGCAGCTGAAAGCGGACACTGACCTTATGATATCAGGCCAACTCTGCTCAATGCCATTCTCGGTCTCGTCAATACACTGATCAATGTGTACACCGCTAAGGACGGGAACTGGTCCGTGACTGCGACCATCACGGTTACAATAACGAGTGCGTGTGCAGGGATAAGCTTGATTTTATTTCTGGTCTATAATAATTGGTTATTGCATCAAGTCAAGAAGGACCACGATGCTCAGATGGGTAATGAGGTTGGAACAGAAAGGTCATCATGACTGGCATAATGGGCTCGGAATCTTCATTATCTAAAAGCGATGCTACACGGCGGAGGAAGGGAGTTACTTTTGGACTACGACATGTTTCTTCGAAAAGTTGAGACGTACCTATCGCATAGATGGTCGAACCGCTCATAACATCTTGACTAGTTATTTAGGATTAAATAAGCGAGGTATCAGGACCGTCGCCGCAAATTAGCGCAATGGCACTGAGGACTGTGGGAACTGGGATTGCTTGTATCTAGCGTACGTCCTATTGACAACGACTCAACGCCTGAGAAAGAAGACTTCCCCTCTTCATCACGTGTGTAATACGGCTGTAGCCGGCAGTCTCCTGTCTTCCCAGCCTCGCGTCCGAATCGTCCACTATCTGTCCTCCCACCCGAATCGGGTGGAGGACTAGGTATCCTGGGAGGCAACGGTAAGTTCGTCAAGGTAGGTTCGTGACACTAGGCTTGGCCTTCAGATCTTGAGCCCCGAAACAGTACATCAAAAATTCATTCTTCACAGTCTTGAATATAGCGGTCTACCCAAGTGTGAAATCTTTTGTAGGGTTTCAGGAAACCCATCCCATTAGCTCATATGTCGTTGTGCTTAGGCTGTCGTTATATACGCACTGGAGATACCTCTGAAACCAGGGAAAATATTTCACAGACAACTATTTTCACACAAAACCACCAAAGCTTTCGAGCATTTCCTCAAACGGGGTGTCTTTCTCCACGTAAACGTCGTGCGAGCTGTATATCTTTTGATTCTAAAGACGTTAACCAAGAATTTCCTCTCGTAGGAAGCAGAAACTCGCTCACGAATAGTAACTCGTTTTGCATGGATAGCGCAGAGATTAGAATCTTCGAAGAGGCTCACAAGATATAGCTCGAGAGCCTCTTGCAGAGCTTCGATTGCCGTCGACTGGAACCGAAAACCATCCCCTTGCCATTTCATTTGGGGGGTTCTCAGATCGTCTGCAATTTCACGGACAAGCCGTTGAAATGGACGTTTGCGAATAAGCAACTCTGTAGATTTCTGATAGCGACGAATCTCTCTCAGAGCAACCGTTCCTAGTCACCGTTAATCACAATTTCACTTACTCAAATACAAGACAATAGAAGAGCAGAGGAAAACCCTACCTGGTTTGTATCGATGCGGTTTCTTTACGCGGCCCGTGCTGTCAGGGAGGCGTTTTCCTGAGAGCTGATCTTTGGCAAGGCTTCTTAAGTTCCTCCTTGGGGCGACGCCCCCAGTGCTCTTCCCTGTATGTCATCCTCAACATAAATCAGGGACAATAATCAAGGATAAGCTTACGCGCGGTCTGTTTCGTCCTCGCCATGAGAGGACACTCGATAATGGACCCCAAAGCAACTTGCCGGATGAGGATTTATTTAATCGTCATCAAAGGGTCCTGATCTGGCTCGCTCGTGTAGCATTAATTTTTTGGGTCCCTTTTGGACTACTGGGACCGAATTGAGCTCCCAGAGCCCTTTTGCGCTCTATCCAACTGTTTGCCTTAAATGTGAGCATCTCACCTCTGGTGTCTGACCACAGGTGAATCATCATTCATCTTTTATTAGTAAGGGTGTTATCTAAACCGAAGTCCCGTGTGTCTCGCCCAAGCTCCCCCCCTACGGGTCGCTTCTCTTTGAAAATTTCTTCTTCTATTGACATGATGTTCTCCAGCTCTATTGGCAAGACTGTCGTGGTTCTTCTTTGGTTACAACGAATGTCTGTTGGACGAGCTATCCCAGCCTTACCCGACAACCACGAGTTAGCATCGAACAATACCGCAACAGGTCTTGAGCCTCAGCGGAGGAGTGAAGACTGGCCAGTGAGTGTCGCATTTACCGCTGGCACGCAGACGCTTGGCTTTGAGCTCCCACGAGATGGACAGGTGCACGACTTGGGCTCTATCGAATGTCTCGCACTTCCTTCGTACTCCATCGGCGACTGCAACGATATTAGTGTCTCTCAGATTGGTGTCACGTCAGGAACAGCACCATGCACATTCATGGGTATCGATGGGTTCCAAATCACAATTACGGTCAATGATAAGGGGTACATAGACGTTACTCCCCCGCAAAATATCGTCTCCGGTTCTTGTGGTTAAATGCAGGGGAGGAGAAGCTTGTGGCAGAAGGGTGATTCGAGTTCGCAGGCAGTTGAAGGAGGCTGAACGTGCCAACTCTCACGACGAGACGAAGCGTTAAGTAGATTCCTGGCAATATAATCTCGTTTACATGCAATCTGATTCCTTTTGAAAAACCGTATAGGGGAAGGAGGAAGGGACGCCCACAGCCACTCCAAATGGCGGCTTCGGCCACTCTTCACACATCCTTCAGTGAGTCTTCATGTGTTGTAACCTGCCTGTGAAGCAGAGTGCAGAAATATATTTGGAATTTAGCTGATGACGAAACGGTCTAATCCCATGTCTACATAAGCTTCCTGGAGAAGGGGAAACAGGAAAGCTGCTAGCTACATCGTATCATAAATCCCGGTATGAATCGTCCGATGCTGACCAAAAGATGTAGAAATTGGGGAACGAAGAGCGAGAGTTTGTCACTGGTTGGAAATATTGAACATGGCAGTAGGTTAAAAGTTCATAGAAGAGCCTCTAGCATGGAAGTGCAGCTCAAGGCAGCAGGACTAACGGAAAGCCTCGAAGTACCATTGCCACCCACGACTCTCCCCTCCTGACTTCTCCTCTACGGGGCCATCTCGATAATCTGGTGCAGATGCCAATTCAGGCTCCTGCTGGATACCTCTTCCGGCTCCAAAGTGGTACCTACACAGAGACTGTGAGAATATAAGAGTGCGAGTAAACGATGCAGAATCTTGGCCACTCGTCAGATTCCAACTCAAACCAATCTCCCTAGAACTCTTTGGAAGATTAAGTTCCTCCTCTTCTGTGCATTGGATCAATCAACTACGAGCCATGGGTAAGATTGAAATTTCAACAGCGGAGGACGTCGACAATTGTGGTCGAGAATTCAGCAAATTCTCTTGTACGCTTCGCAAGGGTGATTTCGACCTTGAAGAATGCGAGGATATGCTCTTGGATGCCGTGGACTACGGATCAGCCTTGGTACGGTATTGCCATGAACTCCAAAGCAAGCATGCCTCGAAGCGTCCTCGAGATGAGGTGATTACTATCAGCGACAGTGACAGCGACAGCAAGTGCTCACCGCGATCATCCATGCTCGGAAGCTGATTACTCTCAGGCGGCGGTGCAGCCCTGACCTCGAAAATCCCAGACGTGGCGGTCAGTAAGAAACGTGCACGAAGGAATAGCACCGACAGTGAAGGTATGGACAGTTCGGTGAGCCTGCATTCTCAAAGCTAACTTCGCTCCAGGCGAGGATAATTCAAAGCCTTCGAAAAAGGTGCGAATGAACACGACCAAAAAGCGTACTCGAAATATGATGGAAGACTCTAGTGACGGTAAGTTTGCGGCTGGATCGCTCAAAGCGCTACGCTAACTATTTCTAGACGGACAAACAGGGAGTTCTTCTAAGAAAGCTCGTCTGGGTGGACAGAAGGTGGAAGCTGCCAAAGTATTCAAAGAACTCGATGCGCTATTGAAGACAACCGTCAAAGGACCAAAGTAGGGCCGATTCTAGAGCTAGTGAGACAGAATACTACAAGGAAAAGTTCAGGAAGGGAACGCCAGCCCTGGAGGTCTGAGGGAAAGGGGAAAACAGAAGGTAAGAATAAAAAGAGCGAAAAGAAAGAGGGAAGGGGCGGAGCAACCAATGTACACTCGTTTCGTTGTATTCAGTCTACGGAGAATAGTTGTCAGTTGATCTGACCTGTCAAAGAATATACAGTCTTAAACAGCATTAAATGAAGATCCTGCGTTGGTTTGAAGAACCTAGATGAGGGTTACAAGCATGCTGAGATGATCCAGAGGAAGAACGGTAATAGTCGTCGCCAAGCTGTACATTGCAAATCGTGTAATCATAAATCTTTGGTTCGAAAGTCCCCGTTGATGTTTCGACAGCAGAAACAGTGAACTCGAGGGGAGGGCGGCGATCATTACATATTCGTTCCACGCCGGTCAAATTGGAGCACGGTCTCAAACGATTCTCTAGATATCGATGAAAGGAGTTTAGATTGTTCAGCCTTGTTACCAAAAATGATTCTTTGTAATCTTGAACGAGATAGGAGTGGCAATACACCTGAGGTTGCGCATAACAGGGCCGGAGTTGGGTGTTCCAATCTGCGAGACGACGTCAACCTCATGATTCGAAGTTGTTCAACCATGACAACCGTGGCCGCAATAGTGGTTCTGCTTCTACTTCCTCCTCTCCGCCTCGATTTCTGTTTTCCCGATAAGCTGTCTTTTCTCCTTGAGACGCCGCTCTTTCCCTTATGCTACAGTATTTGATTTGGGCATTCCTCTCTTCCTTGCCCGGCAAAGCGTCCTCTTATTCCACTTCTTGGAGCACCTCCTGACGAGGTCTTCGATTCTCTTCAGCCGCCGCATGCACTTCCGAATCAAATTCAGCTCGAGATATCTAAAATTCTGAGCAAGGCTTGACGAGTAAGATTTACTCGGAGCCGACGGTCGAGATTTCCCAGTCTTGCGAACAGTACGATGTTGTTCAAGTCCCTCTCTCGCTGACAATGCTGCTTGTCTCCGATCCTCTTTCTGGACTGTCTCTCTAGCCTGCTCAGAGTTCGCTGTCCCAGTTACAACCCCAAGCGGAAAGGTCCTGGCCAGCTTACCGAAAAAAGCAAGATACGAGGAACGACGTACGAACCAGGACGACATCTCTCCCAGTTCTTGAATGCTTGCGTTGTGCAGGTTTTCCAGAAAGAGCAAACGTCTGTCTTTCTGATGATGTTTACCATATGGGGTTCCACATCTCTTTACCTTGGTGTCAGGATTGGCATCGTCGACAAAAGTGACGTGCTCCTTCGATGCCGACAGAGGAGGTGGGGAATCCATTAGCTCGTGGATCTCGGGAGACTCAAAGCCTAGCCGATGAGCAAGAACCGCAAACTCAAATAAACCGGTCGTATCTGCTTCTTTCGTTTTCGGTTTTGCCAGCAAATCTCTCTTCTTCGGGCGTGGAGCCATGTCGGGGTAGTTGCGCATTGCAGAAATGAAGATCTGTCTGATCCCCCAGTCCAGTCGGTTGGCTCGATTCCCTGGCGCTGAAACAAACGTGTGCTCAGATCTCTGGATCACGCAGTAGCCGGCTTGTTGGTTCAGATCGGAAAACATCCGTCCCAGGGCGGAAACGATGGTCTCGCGAGGCCCCAAATGTATTAACCGCCTGACGCAATCGATAGGATGTTTGAACCAGTTTAAATCCTCAAAGAAGCTTGAGAAAGTAGGGACTAAGCGGTCGGATGTAAAATCAAGCACCCTGACCCAGATCTCCTCGCGCTCACGGCCATTGAATGCGCCGAAAATATGACCACTATCCAGTTGACAGTGTAGAGTCCGGGCATCCACCCTACAAGCCCCAGGAGCCATGAGCTCCAAGGCTTTAACGGTGGCTTCGTCTACTTTCTGTAGAGCCTCGCTATCTCCCTGGACAATCCCATACCAGAAATTCTTCATAGAGGTGAGATAATTGAGAATATACTTTGACCAGTCAGAATAAGCGTACGATCGATAGTGTGTCTTACCTCATCGATTCTCATCGAAAGTATTTTATGCCACGTGGTTAACCTCCAATCTTTCCGAAGTCCAGGGACGTCTAGAAGATCGTCGCACGTAGACATGATATCGTCATAGTGTGAGAGCGCCGCGACATTTCGTTGCTCGTGGCGGGATAAATGCGCCCGCCATCGCTTCTCGAACCACAAGTTATCGACACCCTGGTTTTTTTGCCGGTGACACTGCCGCATTCTGTGGTAGATCTCACCTGGATGCCACTCGTTATTGGCGTACTCCTCGACCAATGTCGCCGCCAGCTCCGGACCTGGGTTCCATAATCGTGAGAATTTGTTCATGTAAAGATTGATAAGGAATGAAGCATACCGACAGTATAGAAGTCTGCGGTCCAAAGCCTCTCTCCTGCAGGCAAGACTTGTATGGCGGCACGCACCCTTGCTTGGCCGTGTAGGCATTCCAGAGATTCATGGGAAGAGCAATATAGGTAAGGGAATTTGGGTAAGCGAAGATGGGTAGGAGGACCTGGGTAGGTTCTATAAGGGGCCACTAGCGGAGCCGGAAAACGTTCGAGGTATCATCATAGGAAGAGAGATACGGGTAAAGGCACATAGGTAGGCTGACCCGGGAATATTTCCACGTGACTAGTAACTGCCAAGAGCCCAAATCGGCTCTGGAGCTCTAAAGGAATTTTATAGGGGGCCCTTTCGAGTCACTTAGGTTAAGCGCCTATGGGAAGAGAAGTATAGGTAAGTGAATATGGGTAAGCGGATACAGGTAGGTGGACCTGGGTAGGTTCATAGCCGAGGGCCTAAACCGGCTCAGGAGCCCGAAAAGCCTAACTCATAGGAAGACAAATATGGGTAAGAGATTGTGGGTAGGTGGACCTAGGTACGTGAACTTTTCAGGCTCCATGAAGGGCTAGCGAACACCCCTAATGGAACTTACCTAGGTCCTCCCACCTACATTCTCTTACCCATATGCCCTTACCTATATTGCTCTTCCCATGGGCCAAGGAACCGGTGGTCAGATAGGAAGGAGTCTGCAGCAATCTTTGGAAGACTAGTCAGTTTTTACAGAGCCAAAAATGGACCCCTTTATTATAGAGGCCAGTTTAGGCACACCCTTGCAGTAGATGTAGTCAATATAAGAAGTGATGAGCATCTATACAAGTTCCTAATGTCAGAGGTATCCCTGCAGATCAAGTCGAAATGCAGGCCTCACTTCCCGATCAAGAGCGAAGGCTTGCGACAGAACTGAGTCTCAAGTATAGAGGTGCGGCTAGCATAAAGATCGACGCATTACGATTTACATGTGACAATAATGGGGATCACAACCACGAAAACAACGTAAACAGGTTGAAAAGTATGTTTTCAAGATGAAGGTTACTAATGTATGAAGCTTCTAGATCACATTCCAGGCATAATTAGCCAATCCCAACTAGACGCCGCAATCAGCATGTCTGGGATGTCGCCGGCGCTACTATTAGCGGATAGTTGCCCGAAGCTCGATTTGCCAACCGGTTACCATTTAGAATGCCTGTATGGACAAGCCCAGGTTCGGGCCGCAGCAGAGGTCCTGCCACCAGGGGACAGGCGTTGGACGGTGGATTTATATCTTGCAGGCAGGACAAATCACTATTCTACTCGCCAAGGCGTCTCACTAACGTATTATTGGCAGATCTAACCCCGAATCTGAAGACCATGCTGATCGAGGAATATTCCGAAGAGGTGAGACCTCACGATGGAGAAATCTATCGAAAAATACGCGGACACCAATTGGAAGGAAATTTGTACTTCGAGAAACGCTGGTGGGCTCGCCTCTCCAGAATATCCCCCCGCCGAAGAGAGCGCCTCGAACAGCTCTTCCGCCATGATGATTTTACCTCAGCATTTGACGCCCTATTAGATATTCCAGGGTTATGGGGTGGGATGAGGATAGGCACACTTCACAAAATGATCGCGATGCACTGTAATGAAGTAGGTTCCGTATTTACGACTGAGTTCGTTTGCTAACCGCGTCAAATAAGGAAATCCTTCGGTATCTCGATTATATTAAGGAGACTTGGCACAAAATAGTTCGGGAAGATATCGTATCGATGAGGAAAGTTGATCAGGCGACGGTGAAAGCACTCGAGTTTACCGCGCCGGGGGGGTGTAAGAGAGATGCTGAAACTTTATGGGGCCAGTTTAAGAGCGGACGCATTTTCGGGGCTTTCAGCGAGCCAGAGCGTGAGTCGATTTGGAAAGAAGTGTTATCCTACTCCCGAGATCGGCTGATTCCTTCACTCTTCACCTTTTTTGAGGATCTCAAATACTTACAGGGCATAGCCGACTGCGTGAAGCGCCTTCTTCACCTTTCGCCTCGGGATAGTGTTTTCTCTGCCTTTGAGCACTCATTTTCTGACGCGAGGCAGGTGGCAGATCAACATGTGATCCAGGTGTCTGAGTCCACATTTGCTGCCGCGCCAGGATGGTCGACGGACCGCATTCACCTGGGAATTCGGCAAATGTGGATCGCCGCCATGCGGGATTACCTCGAGATACCTGCAGGCCCAAAGAAAGCGGACTCATTGGCGAAGCCAGGGTGTGAGAAAGCTAATGAGGTGGCTCTCTATAGATTTGCGTCCCTTGCTTGGCGGCTTGGTTTCAACACGAACGAGATTCGACGCCTGACACAGCGGTCTCCTGAAAGGGAGATTGCTCGCGACGCATTGTTGAGAGCCCGGAAGCCAGGCCAGTATCGGTATGATAAGGCGACATTCGAGGACTACGTGGAACAAATGTTGAAGATGTTTGACTCAGCGCGTCCGGTAATGAACGAATCGCCTGGGACAGTCCTCGTAGCCAGCGATTCCGACAAACCTGTCAAAAGATGTGGGGTACCGCGAAAGAAAGAGCATAATCAAGCCAAGGGGCGACTGTTTCTGCGTCACCTACACGAGGACTCCGTGGAAAGCTACGAGGAGATGACGTCTTTTTTCGTGCGTCGGTCGGTGTACTTTGCGTTTTTCGGAAAACCCACATCGATCAGTGCAAATGTCAGTACAATGCGTGAGGTCCCACAGTCGCAAACTGTTACAGAAAGGCGCGAGAGCGAGGCTCGGCGGAGTGCTGCAAGGGTCGAACAGGGACAGAACCAAGCACCGGTCGCGGGAAACAACCAGGAGAGATCTTCACCGCTGGCGCCACCACGACCGGAACAGGAAAGATCCCAACATCGTCCTGACACTCGGCCGATTGCAGACCCTTCCCCACCAAACTCGGGCGAGTTGAACCAAATAGGGGAGACGAGAACCTCTCTTGGAGACAGCTTCGGCCGAGAAGAGATTGCGATGGAGGGGGAAGCTGGTGCAGATTGGGAATCTGATCAGGAGATGCTTGACGGAGAAGAGCCAGCGGTCCTAGACCGGACAAAGCGAGAGTCTGTGAGAAAGAAATTAGCGCAAAAGACAAAGAGGCGACGGAAGAGGGAACAAAACAAGGCTATAAGGATGAGCGAAAACAGAAGTACACAACAAAGACACGATCTGCTTCTCAAAGAGAGTACAGGATTGATGGGCGAAGAACAGGACAGCCCTCCAGATGGACAGACGAATCAGGACGAACAGACAAGGCAAAAGCGAGTCACTCAAATAAACCTGGATGAAGTGGAAGAAACGGATGCTCAAGCGCCGATCCAAGTTCAAGCCCCGACCGCCAGCCAGATTGATTCCCTGGAGAAAATCTCAGAGATGAACCAGTTCCCAGCGACACAGCCACAAGACGAGGGCCAAGACATAGTGACAGAGAGCGTTGTTCACGAAGTCGCGACATCAGAGATTCCGACCCTCGACAGAGAGGTGACTGCGCCAAAGACCGTGTCTCTAGCAGAAGCAGAGGGTCGTCGCGAAGCGCAAGAGCAACAAACAGCGGAGCAAACCTACGGGGAACCAGATGAGCGACAGACGATGGGGAGAACCCAAGATGGGAACGAGGGAAACGAAGGGCAGCATGTCAACCAGGGAAAGCAGGAAGCCACTGAGAGAGAGCGACGACGACATGCTGCATGGGACAGGATTGATGAGGCGCAGACAACCCCACCGCGAGAGATGGCCCAGACCGAGGATTCACCCCCTAGAGATCAGGTCCTTCTGGATGAAGCGGAACAGGGATCAATCGATAATCAGATGAGGCGCGATCGAGAAGAGTCTCTATTTAGTCCCGAATCAATGTCGCCAATGGATGAATCGACGAACGTAGAGACAGCGCCACAAAGAAGGATCGAAACTGCGCCACAGCAAGAGGCAAATGGGTCGGTGAACAGTATCGAAGGGACTCCACCAATGTTGATTATAGATCAGCAGCATGAGCTCTCGCCAGCCCAACAGGTAAACGCCGTAACAGAGGAGGTAGAACGCATCTCCACGGCCGAAATGAAGGTCTCGGCAGAACGGGAAGCGATTCCAACCCTTCCACAATCCGAGATACTTGGGAGAGGGCAGGAGAGGCTCGAAGAGCTGGGTGGACGTGTGAGCCAGGACCAGGAACATTACGAAGACGAGATCGGACTGGAGCAGAGAAAACGAACGACACCGGATCTGGATTCGGGCCCAGCTATTGAAGGCCCTATCCAGTTACAGGATCTGAATTCCTCGCCCATAATACGAGAATCGGACCGAAAACGTGTCACTCAGATCAACTTTGGCAGACTAGAGGAATTGGAGAGCCTAGAGCGAGCGCACGAAATGTTGTCTCCCGGACATGATCGGGATGGAGTTCGCGATGGGGGAGAACTCATTGCTCGAGAAGATGAGATTGTTCCCGACGTGCAGGAAGAGTTAAGAGGCGATGGCCAAGCGCGATACGAGCCGCTCTCTGGCGAGGGCAACCGAGCAGCAGTGGAGAACACCGAACGGAATATCGACGACCGGCTACGGGAGCGGGAAAATCAAGAAACGGCCGCGAGACCGCGGAAGAAGGCGGCGATAAAAGAAGTTGAGAGGCGAAGACAAGAGAGAGTACGGCAACTCAAGAATGAGAAACCCGAGTTGATGTCGGAGCAAAAGATGACCAGAGAGCGAGCAAGGGATCAACAAGAGAGGCAAGTAAAGGAAGACGAAGGCATGCGCCGAAAACGGACCACACAGATCGACTTTGGGAGGCTCGGAGACGCTGTTCATGGGCAACCCAAGCCTAAAGAGAGCGCCAGTCGGCGCTCAATCACAGAAAACGAAACCGGTGGCGGACCAGCCGAAGTTGTTGTGCTTGATTCTGATGTCATCGCGACGACCAGTCAACAACCAGCAGATCCTCCGAAATTGACCATGGAAAGAACCGGCCCTCAGAAGATTCGAATCCATCTCAAGATCTCCGACGGGAGGCTTGGTGGTGAGGACTGGAAAAGTCTATCCTCACACGACGTTGACCCTTCCGAGCCGGCAGACTTCATGCGATTCTTGAGGAAATACACCAGAAAGGATACCGAAAATCCGTGGAATGTGCTCGCCGGGTCCCATATAATAACCCCATTGACGAAGTTCGAAGACATCATCAAAGATGGAAACAGCACCTTATACATAACTCGAGAAGGGGTTATCGACACTCATCTTCATCCTAATTCTCCTGCCGGCAAAAGAATTCGATCTTGAGTATATAGAAAAGCGACTCTAACATTAGTCCCTAGCTCATCTTTCGTTTTTCGACCCATCCCCCACCAAATGAACCTGGTCAATGCGTAGGATGATAGTCCTGTTTATTGGATATCTTCCATGAAGAAAATTGCGAAGAATAGTCTAACCGACAAGGTAGGGACAGGTGACCGCCAAGTAACTTGGCCTCCCATGAATAGGCATGATCCTTACTGGAAGTAGTTAACCGTCTAGTCACCGGGCTGATATTCTAGTTCCTCCAGCCTGACTTTCTTATCAGCCAAGGGACGGACTAGACGTCGCAACCGATCTCGAAGGTCGTTGCTTCCAGACACTGGATTGATCAGCAGAGACCCGAAGTGGGTCAAGTGAGCTTACCCATCACCAACATCTCTCCCCTCTCGCCTGATTCCTCCTGTACCCGTTTGATGTGTTTCCCTGCCGCCTCTTCTTGGAAAATCGCTTCCACATCAGCCATGCCACTGTACGCGATCGCGCGTCTCCCAAATGGCACTCGATCCTGGCTCGCCCAGCGGATGTAGATCGAAATACTGAGAATCTATGCGCCAAGTCAAACCGACGCTTCATGATATAGTTTCGTGTGACTTACCTTCCCCTTGGCCGACTTTTCGTCGCTCATATCGTCGGTGCCGTTATCGACACTAAGTGTGTCACCGACGAGCGCATCATTCAACAAGTCTGCGGCGGCATATCCCAAATCTACTGCAGTTGAGCGTTGTCCTGCGTGAAAAGACGGGCAATCTGATGGTCTACGTACCTTTTGTCTCCAATTGCCACACCAAATGGATTCGACGAGTGCGAATCTTGCAGGCATTATATCCATGAATGAGCTGCTTCAGGTAAGGGAGGTACGAGACGACACCAAAGCCATCCGCCATCATTAAGACCGTCTCATAAGTTCCAGCTGGGACGGTAGTACCGTGAGGCCCACTGAACAAGGCTTTGTATAAAGTGCCGCTCCCGCGGCTAGAGTCCGAATATCGCAAAAGCTTTCTGGTCAGGCCGTCACGTGGCTCCACGAAAATGTCCAAGGATTCTAGACTTTCATCCGACCAGGATGTTATAATGAAAGGGTGGCTCTGCAGGAGGCCAAACCAGGGAATCCATAAGCAGATGTATTGCCCTGGCTTCACCTGGACTGGCGAGGTGAGGCGTACTTGAAGCGTCATCACTTCCTGCTGTATGATGACATGCTCCCTGTTCAGCATTTCTTTGATATTGGTGATCTTGACTCTGGCGAACCCGTTCCCTACCACTCCGGTTTGGTACACAATGAGTCCGCATTGGACGAGAACGGTCAGCAAGAATGTACCAATGGTAACGTAAATGTACTTTTGTGGAAGAGAATGGCTCTTCTTCAAGTGGCTCCATATGCTGTAAGTCGCCGTGACAGCCAGGGTCTGATGCAGGCGAAGGAAGAACTCGTAGAACGGACGGCGAAGCAATGGGTTTGAGAGAGGCACGAGGATGCCCAATGATATTGTCCCCTAATCTTTGTCAATACTGTTGACCGGCTGCAGGAACCTTTTAGGAAGCATACGATCAGTCCAAAGAGGTTTTCCGAGATCTGCAAGGGAAATGGTTTCTTCTCCACGAGCACAGTGAGAACGTGGAAGCCCAACAGGACCGATGACATGAGCCCTAAGGAACGATGAAATCGCCGGTACGTGCGTAATGTGACGCCCAAGAGATCGGCTGGAAAACTCAGATGAGGGCCCGCCATGAGAGGGATCAGGTTGATGAGCGAGAGATTGGCCGCCCGCAGACCGGCCACCCAGACAGAGCGCACTTTGAAGCAGACACAAAAGACGTTGACCCCACTGTACAGAAGCCCTGCAATGACACCAGCCGGGTGCCACGCCCCAGTCAACCGGTGACGAATCTGTGGATACACAAAATATTTGAGGGAGAAGGGTACGACCTTCTTCCAACCAAACAGAAGCCACTGGCGAAAGTTCATGAGAATGAGGAGAAACAACAAGCCGCCCAAACCGATCGCGTAGGCTAGAGTAATATCCATATTGAACGTTAGAAACGATAGAAATAGAATGACAACAACGCACGGATAGAAATGCAGTTTCACACGCGTTAAGAAGCTTGTTGAACAGGGAAAGAGAGTGAAGTTGAAATATAATGAATTGTAGCATAGTATTGAGACGCCAAACCCTCAGAGAGGGAGCCGAGAATGGAACAAGACTCTGAGCAGTTGCGGCCAACTTTGGAATAAAGCAATTGGAGCCAGAATGGGATCCTCTACCCGACAAATCCACCCTCTAGCTTGGCGGCAACCTGTAGCCCCTGAATGGGGCAATCGAAGTCACATCTGCCAGCCCTTGGAGATTTCTCGTTCCCCAGGGCCTGCTGAATAATGGATTCTAGCCAGGTCAGGATCAAACCCAGGAGGAAATCTGAGGTCCGTCACTTGCCTTCAACAACCTCTCTGCCGAAGTTGCAGACGTCGTCTCAGAAAGGAATTCGACCGCCAGAGAATCGGAGGGCCACCGGCGCAGGTCATCTACTCCGACAGCACCATCAGCTTTGGCATACTTTTGCATCAGCTCCATTGTGATGGAGCTTAGAGCCTTAAGATCTCTCGATCCAGGATTACTCAGGGGACATGGTCGACAGAGTTCCTGATGTGCTGTGATCTGAACGTCAGCTTGACGTAGAAGTTTATGGAGTGATTACGTGCCTATCTTCACCTCGCCAGCGACATTGATGAGAATATTCGAGGTGGTCAGAGAGCCGTGTTCTAGTCCTTTTGTCGCGAGGTACACAAGCCCGTTGAGGATCTGTCACAGTTAGTCGGTCCACTCAAAAGAGGTGATATTCAAAACCCCCCTGTCCTAAAATGGACGCCAGTTGATCCTCGTCGAGATGTTTCGGAAACCCAGTGAACAGGCTCAGAGACATCGGCATGTGCTCGAAGACAACGTAGAATAACTCGTCATGGAGAAAGATGTCTCTCACGGACACGATATTCTCATGTTCAACTTGCTGCAACATACGACATTTTTCTTCACTGTCATGTATAGAGAAGCTCCTCACAGCGACGACGTACGGCGTGGGACCCTCCTTTTGAGGAGGGACAATAAAGTCGGCGGACCACGGGTGTCTAACATCGGCCACGTCCACCATGTCGTCGTCTTCCTCGCCAAGCCGTATGCAATGGCTTTTTCTGTACTTTTCCCACGGGGATTGGTGCTTCACGATCAAGGTATTCTCCGTCCCATGTCCGAGTGCTGCTGGGGGGTTCAGGGGCTTCGAACCAGTTGCTGAGGTGGTACGATAGGTTCCGGACGAGAGGGCCCTCGGGAATCCTGCTGCCGGATTAAATCCAGTCCCGCGGCGACTGGGAGTTTCACCATCCGTGAGGTGATCATCCTGGCGGGTCACGCTCTGAGAAGGCCCCCTAAACCCTCTGATTGCATCAAAGTCGATGCGTGTTCGGCGATTTAAAGATTTGGATGACATCTTGACAACATGAATGGCTAAAGAGAAGACCAGAACAAACGGTACAATCTTTTAAGTAAGGTATGTGAGGTTTTGAACAAAATTGAGGCAGGGGCGGTGGTCAATCCCAAGAGACGGGAGACGACGTTCGATCTGGACTACGAAGCAGGTGAGGAACGAAGCGGCCGAAGCCGGCATGTGCAGCAATCGCACGCCTCCCTCCCCGGGCCCATTTTGGTCCTCGGGGCCCAATTCAGACTTGATGCTGAGCTCAACGGAATGAGGCCCCTTCTGGATCCGAATGGTGAATAGCGTTGTCACTCAAGAGTACTGCAGAGCTCGATGGGGAGGTACGTAGCTTCATTAAATGATGTCCGCAGCCCACCGGTGGTACTGTAAAGTGTTCATCGTCCCACAGGTTGAATTATTCATACATACACCACCATGCTCAGAGAAAAGCTTTGGCTCAAAGTAGGTGTGTCGCTCGCATTCGCGGCCGCATTAATCTGCTGCACGGTTTTGAGCTTTGAAGTGCTTTGCAATAAGGACGACATGAAGGCTGGTATCATTACCTTCACTGTGAGGGCCTTTCACTGTTCAATATGTTTAGGTGAGGTAGATCGCTGATGTATTCTTCCACAGTTTAAGGCGCCCCCCACACAGGTACCGCTCCGTGCAAGGGGCCTGATCCCAACGGCCGTGACCGAAGCTGGGAGCGTCGTAAGCAATGCGGCAACAGCAGCCTCCGGGGCTCCCAGCCAAGCAAACAGCATCGCAAGCGCCGCCGCGACAGCCGTCAATGGCGCCATCACGGCGATCCCCCGGAATCTCTCCATCGGCACAAAACAATACTGCGTGGGGTTCAGCGACCATGTCGAATGTCATCAATTGCCCGTGAACATATCTAGGATCGTACCCCAGGTTGTTACAAATATTCTGAGCGACCAAATGGAAGATTTGGATTACCTGCGCAGCATCTTCGCAAAAGCTACTCCTGGATGGATCCGGGATCCTTTCATTATCAGCATAGCGACGGCCCTGGTGATCGCTGTCGTCTTTTTCACCTCTATGTTCAGCTGGCCCTTCGGCGCTGGTACTCTGTTGCAGGATCTGATGTTACCATTAATGCCCAGATTGGTTATTGGGCTCTTTTGTTGCATCGCTTACCTCCTACCAACAATTGTTCTTTACCTTCTCTACTCCAAGTCGAAAGACCTCTCTTCCGAGATCAGGGCTGATCAGGGCCCGGTCGGCGGCTACTGCTGGGCTACTCTCTTTTCGGCTCTACTAATGACGGGAATGACGACGTTTGTTCACATCTTGGTCTGATAACACCCGATGAAAGGTCGTTAACTTTCATGGTGGCTCGGTTCAATACACAGGTTATCCATTTCGACGCCATACCATACACTGAGAGTGAGGAACTTGGACAGTAAAATTAGGTAGTAAGAGCGTATGGTTGAATAGGAGCCCACAAGATCACGTCCCTGAGCTTTACCGTACTTGTGACCTGCTTGACAAAATCGGAGCTGAACAGTTGTCCCCTCAGAAGCATCTGAAGCGGACCCAGCACTCGGAGGAGCGAGTTTGATTTGCTTGAGGGCTCGGATATGGAGTGATGGTGCAATCGAGTCTTTCGAAGTCACTCTCTTCTACCTCACTTGGGTCCTCGTCCCATTCAATTGCTCATGTATCTGCTGTATCCGTGACAGTCGCTTGAACTCCTTTTCCAGACTGGCACACCGTTTCTTGCGGCTGATTCGATCACTATGACGCCTCGCCTGCTTCATGGCAGGTCTTGCGCCAGCAGAGGATGCTTCCACGCGATTGTGATGATTCTGCATTTCAACCTGCCCTTCTGCCATTGAGTTAACACGTATGGAAGCTGCCGATGAAGTAGTCTGTGGCTCCGGTACGATGGCCTCCTTGGAAGGCAGGCGAGTTAGAGACGCACGAACGGGCTTTCGGGGCGTCAGCTTCCGGTTGTTTGAGATGACAGAGTGTAATTCTGCCAGGGGTTCTCTTGTGCATTTAACTGCTGTGGCTGTGTTTGTTGGCTCGGGCGAGGACTGGCTGACTGAATGTGAAGCTGTAGGACCAATGCCATCTTCGGACAATCCCGTCTGCTGGGTGATCGAGCCGTGGCGATTTTGGATCTCTTCGTTCGGTGGCCGGCCTGGCGGGGTTTGATACAGTTCTGCTTCTTCACAAGCTTTGTCCCCATCTTCTCTTGCTTTTTCGTTCTCTAGGCCATTCAGAAAAAGTATCCTCTGCAACAGCCTTTCAAATTCCTGGCCATCTTAGCGTGAGGTATGATGCCACTTGGGGAAGGCTTACAATGTTTTTGATCACTGGTTGCCATGGTCCGTGACCAGAGGATCTGTATGTATAGGCCTCTCTAGCCTTTGGATTGACTATGTGGCGGGCCACGGAATAGATCCATATTGTGTGCAACTTATGGCTTTTTTTAATGGCGCCGAACTTTCCTTTCTCGCGGTGCCTCATCTTACGATCTCTTTCGTTGGCTTTTTCTCAAGTGCAGCGTCGTCTGGCGTGTGAGTTGTGGCGTCTTTCTGATCATCCGAAGTCTCCATGGCAGGGCTAGCGAGCAGGATATTTAAGTACCCAGAAAGAAACTCGCGTTTGCAGCCCCAGTGACCACCACTGTGCGATTTCCCAATGAAGAATGGCAGTGCAGCTAGTTGGTTCTAAATATAAGGCAACAACGGTCGCCCCAAGTTGATACGAAAAGGGGATGGCTTCCATAGTGGGTCCCCTTCCACAACCTGCTGCCAATAGAGTCAATTTTTAGTTTTCATACCTGACTTACTGAGCCATTGCTTTGCCGCGCGCTTCTACGTTTCAGGAAGCGTCTCAGAAAATATGCGCCTTGATATTCCCGACGGTGATTAGTGGAAAGCGGATGGATCCACCAGTCTGATTCGTACAGCAATGGGTCGGAGCTCTGACAGCCATTCCAAGATGGCGAAAGTCGTCGGATGATATTGCCAAACCACTTAGATCACTTGGACCTCTAGAGAGCCAAGCACCTTCCGGAATTAGATGCTTCTGGGTGGACTTGATCTTCTTGTGAGCATTCTCATCGTCATCCTCAACCTCAACCATTCAACGCTGACCTGAGTAAGTATCCTGAAGATACTACAGTATTACTATTCTCGCAGCAAGATTGAGACCCAGTGGGCACCTAGGCCAGGCAAACGCATTTAAGGGTTGATAACATCTCATCCCGCACGTTACACGGAGCCGGAAACTAACAAGATGCTAGAGATCAACCGCTCCAGAAGACGGCGTCAGCACCTGAACAAAATGCACCGAGCTCGGGAAGACTTGCATCACGAGCGAAGCAAGCCACCAGAATCATAGATATGATCCCCCGGATTGCTCTCACCTGGGGCCAGACAAGGGTTCATATTAAGTAAAAAATTATCGGACATTCTTGACTGTCTATTTAGCAATGATACTCCAACACAATTGCTCAATACAAAGCTAAGAGTGTGACAACGCAACCGGGCCCGCTAAGGTTGCGAGGGCCAGGTCATAGCCATTGTCGGGCAATTGACTTGTTACCGCTACAAACACCGCCCCATTGAGTCCTTATGGTACATCCGCAACTCCCCTGCCTTGACCAACGATCGATAATACCGTATACACCGGCACATTCAGCTGATTGGTCCAGCCAACAAACAACTGTTTTCCCCGCTCGAAAACGAATGGCATCTGCATCGGATCCCACGAGAATGCCATTTCTGACGGAACCACGGTGGTGTTCGTAGTGGAAATGGGGCTCGTGGTGGTATTTTGATATGGTGCGATGCTCGACGCGATTCCCGTGGCCGCTGAAGATCTGTTGTCAGCCGTAGTCGGGGCTGACACCGTTAACGTGGGCAGAATTGGTAGTGGGAGTTCCGTTGGACACGATCCAGGCACGATAAATGGAAGAGCCAAATTGTATGCCCAGATACTGCTAATCCCGGTGTCAAATGGAGCTGGGTTAGGGACTCTGCCACCCACATGGCGGAAGAAGGCGTCATGGCGGGACTCGACTGTCACGATCGACGATACCGTATTGACAATCCCAGGATCAGTGTACGAGACTCGATCGACCAGCCCGATAAGTGCGCTGATGCCCACTGAGGTGATGATGTCGCCAAGGGCGATGAACTCATCAATGGAGGCCACCGGGAAGGAATACTGGCAAGGAGCAATTACAGGGGCTCCATAGCCGTTGAGCAGGTTCGCAATTGTTGCAACGTGTACTTCCTCCTGCTATAGAAGGCACAAAATATTAGACTGACACAGAACCGGGATGGTCAACTTACCGCCGCGATTGTGCTGAGAACTTCGGTCGTGTCATTTGGATAGCCCGCCGTTCCCCAGGTAGAAATATTTTGAAGTCCGCTTTGAAGATAGGATAATTCCATGTTTTCGAGAAAGAGGGCCAGTTGGAATTCTTTGATCGCTTCCGCTGACACCATGGGAGGCTCATTGCTGTCCGGGATCCCGCCTCCTGCCGTGTTTATAGTGTCTGGACAGAGTGGTGCGGCTGCCGTAGTCGCCATTCTTGTCAAGCTGGGCAGGACGAAACAGAAAATTGCGGAACGCGGAGGTGACGGCATGACCGCTCTTCAATGTCGAAAATTGTAAATTGCTTGAGGTGTAGAGATTGATCACATCCTCCCAGCTTCCAAGCTTCATGGAATATAAATCAAGTCGTGTCAGGTTGGACAAGTGCGATCCTTAGTTCCGAAGGGACCAATTCTTGTTCCCTAGGTGCTATTCTTGTCTCACATCTCTCACAGCCTCAGACGATCCTAAGAATAGTGGTGGGGTCTAGTGTGGTATACCAATGATCAAGAAGGAAGGTCGCTACGAAGCATATTGCCATTGCTTTCAAAGAAGGTAGTGGAAAAGGTCGAGTTCCGGCTCAAAATTAGCGTGGTGGGAAGTGACTGGACGAGTCCTACTCTGTACTGGGCTTTCCCTTCAGAAAATAAAGTGCTGAACCAGATATGCACTTCAATAAGAATAGGATAAATTAAGAGGACAAAGTATCCGTAGAGGCTCTTGGGATACGGGTCTAATGGTTGTGTTAGTGGCACAAAGTGGCTGGTAAAAGGGGCAGCTAAAAAAGGGGCAACAAGTACGGCTATGCTGGCTCGCCCGAGGCTCCGCAAAGGAGGCCTCTAATTGGCTGCTCTGTTATCCACAGCCCTTATCAGATTGAGATTTGTCCGACTACAAGGTCTTGATAGGAATGGAAAACATGGGCACTTGATTACAGCTATCTTCCCTGCCGTACCCTAAGCTGCCGTACCCTAAGCTCGACGGAAAGCCATTGTACGCCTTTTGCACCTGTTTGAGATGGGAGGTAGAGTCACCATCCGATTATATCACCCAGTACAATCGACGGTCACAAGCTACACTTGCCTGGACCATATTGCCATCTGCCAGAAACAGAGTGGGCTACGTTCCTTAAAACGCTAGATTGTCACCCCGTGGGACATGGTAATCCAGTGGCACCCTCTCCTTGCCAGGCTCGTCCGGCAGAGGGTAATCCTGCCCGATACAGCAGTGCCCCCGCCACGACCGTTATGTGCATGACCTGGTGGCTAGAGCCCACGATATCAAAAGCATCCTGGCAGAACCTTTCTGGAATTCGCATGCAGTAAAAAAAGCCTCCAATGGCATTCAGGATGATCAGGTTCCTGTAGGATGCCAGGAGAACGGGGTGACAGGCACTCCTTTCCCAGGAACGAACATCAAGCGACATCGTCGGTAAGGTTGCCGAGAGCCCGAGGGCGAGGAAGGTTAATGTGCGCGTGTGATAGCTTTCAGGACCCCTGAATATTGGCTGAGACACACACAACGCCGTGACCAGGGCCACTGCCGTTGCAACGCCGACGTGGTATGCCTGTAATTGGCGGTCGCAATAGAAGGCGAAATAGAGAAAGGAAACCATTGTGCTCCAGATGAAAATCACCGTGCCGACGTGGTCCAGTTGCTGTGTCAAAATCATGACCTTTCGGCTGTGGTTGGAGAGGAGGTGATGGACGAATGACAGGGCAAAGCTGACAATGGCCCCAAGGAAGAATGTGACGACTGCCACCACATCCAGAGTCAGAGCTCCAGATTGGGCAAGGAATCGGATGAGTAACCATGAGAAGATGATGGCTGCAAACAGATGTGACCAGATGTTGACGGTCTCGTTATGCCATCTGGCCATGTCTCTCGTCGACCCATAGTAGGAGTAAGATGGTTTTCTGTAACCAGACCGAATGTACTTGTTCCGCTTTTGCCACTTAGGCAGGTTTTTCCAGCGTCGGGGCATAGTCGCACAGCAGGTGTAGAAGCGTCTGGGTGCAGCCCGAGCGCCATAAACTTATATTCGGTGAACATGGACTTCCTCGAACCGTGAGACCCATTTGAGCCCCCCTTGCTTTCGTAAGATTTGGTAGCCCTTTTAGGCTCGTTCTAGTCGACTCGGGGTGTACTGTGGCTCTGAAGGTAGTCATGTTTATTCACACGCTGGGTTGAAGCAGAGCATTTCGGTTGCACATCCCGTACATTCAACTCTGGCCAAAATGCAGGCACGCAGGAGGCATGGAAAGACTCATCAAGCGAGCAGCAAGTCGCGGAGATGTCGGTGGATGATAGGTATCTAGCAGCTGAGTGATATTCTCGAAGGGTCTCAACGAGGACCGCAAGATGTATCAGGGCCATCAGAAAAGCTTTGAACAGACTTTTCAAAGCAAGAGAGTATATCCCGAAAAGTGATGAGTTAGGAGGAAGGCTCAGGGAAACAAATGATCATTCTCATCTCTTTGGACTAGGGTACCGGGTTCCGTTCATGCCGGGATGTCCAACCTTTGGACGGGAAATTTCATGAAAGGGGACTCACTCGCTATCCTCTGGAAAGTTGAAAAAGAAAAACTCGTCCTCGCAGTTGGCATTGCGGGACTCCATGCCAGCGTAGGTCGCGGGGCTGTCGTGATAGTCGCAATATGAACGATTCACCGACGTGGATGCTTGATCTGATGCATCATTGCGGGGTGCATCTGCGGTCGGGGATGGCAATATGGGAGATTTCGCCAGGAACGCGTCGATGTCAACGCCCAGACCGTCCGTCACTTCATTCGGTGGCAGCGGGAAGCCATCATGCATGGATGTAAAGGCCGAACAGAGGTCGGGAGCCAAATTTGTCTCTCCGGCAAGACATGCCAGGAAGGTGGTGTAAGGGGCCTCCCAAACGGTTTCGTGGGGAGCCAGAGCGAATTGCGAGGATGACTCAGCCATGTACAGGCCCGGCTCATTCGCATCCATGGGGGGTTCGAAAACCAAGCCAGATTGAGTCCATTGTTGGTCAACATCGCCTGATTGCCTCAGAGGACTCCAAGGTGCTGTGCCTCCGTCGCCAAGAGCGGACGGCGAATCTGGATCGGTCTTCCATATTTGTGCATCGGTCCTTCCACCCTCGTTGAGCCACGAAGGGCATTCTTCCGAGAGCCAGTTGCGAGGTAGGGTATGGTTGATGCAGATGGAGTCGACCAAGGGCGTCAATGTCGGCAACCAGTTTGCCCAGCCCGCCACTCGCAGCTCGACACGGTCCAGAAAAGCTGATAGAGTGGCTTTTGACATGGTTCGCATGCTGTTCGTTTTGCTTCAGTATGGTACGCCTGATTGAGAGGGGTCATCTTTAAGTGAGAGAACTTACTATGCGTCCGACACCTCGTCCGGTATCAACAGTAGCATTCCTTTGCCAAAGCGCGTGATGATGTTTGCCCACGGCTGTCCTGCCGCCCTCCAGTTTTGAATCTTCCTGGCGGCAGCGTATCTGGTCACTGTACCTCTTTTCCGCGCCGTTCTCTTCGTCTTGCTGGTTGGTAACGCGCCGGGGAATAGAAGGTTCACGAAATGATCCATGGCCGCTCGTTTGTGTTGCGAATTGCGAGCTTCGCGACCAATTGCCGTCTTGGGTACCCGTTGCCCCGGTCTCGACCGCGGGCGCTGGGGGCTGCCCTCCATGCCCATATATCGCAAGGCGCACGCGTCGTAGGCATGAGAGAACTCCGCCAAAGTCAATCTTTTCCGTAGTCGATATATCTGCTCATTCGCCTCGGTGAGGACAAGTTCTTCTTTCAGGAGCCACAATTTCCGCATCGAGTCGGGTTGATCCGTCAGATGTTTCGGGATGATTTGACCACCACGTTCGTTGAAGGTTTGTCTATCCTGCCACGCCCGAGCTTTCAGCTCGGCGATCGTGCCTCTCAGCCCTTCCAGCACCTGGAATTCCCCTATGCGGTCGATGGTCTGCAGCATAGCGGCAGTGAGAAGGCCGTCGTGTCTCGCCACTTGCCTCGATTTTGGCTCCTTGACGCGGGAGCGCGACGTTTTCGGGAACGACGTTTTTCCCGGGCGTTTGAAGTCCGAGCCTGTGGTCATTGCATCCGTCGGTGATCCCCAGCTCAAAAGTACCGGCAGGTGATCTTGATCTGACAGTCGCTGGGCCTCTTTCGGCACCGTCTTACATTCGTTCACTTCACTGTTTCCACGACCGCCTTCGACAGCCGTCAACTTCACCACCCCCGAACCCTCCAGTCGTAGAGCTCGCACGCTCGTTGGAGGGGTGGGAAGTCCATAGGCGAATTGACCGTGAGGTTTAGTGCTGGAATGTTCATCCGCGTCGTCATTCCGCGGTTGATCGTGGCCGTCATTGGGAGCCTCACCTTGGGTGAGCACACTTTGTAGCACGGACAGCATCGCATCATGGTGGCCGGGGTTAGATTCCACCCACAGGCGAAGGTATGAATGGAACTGGTCGATACCCACGGGTCAGCGCAAAGGGCCAACATGGCGATAGGTAGACTCACATCATCAAGGCTGAAGGATAGATCTAACTGAGGGTGGTTGGCCTGCGGCAGAGAGCCGATCTGGATTTTCAGGGCCATCAACTCCAGGACGTCAACTAGCTCAAGGGTGGTGGAGTCAGGAGAGAACGCGGGCGGCTTCGTTCGCCTCGTGAATCAGCAGAGAAAGCGGTTTCGGCTCGGCCGCGATGAGACCGAAGTGAGGCGTCTGCCCGCAAAACAGAAGAGAGCGACAAAGAACGCAGCGCAGGGCTGGGGCCTTCATTGTCCCCCGAACGGCGTATGACAGCCAACCGGCCTTATCAACTTCGATGAAGTTGATGTGCAAAGGGAAGGCTTCCACAACGGGCCCCCTCCAAACCCGACCCTTGGTGGGGTCTCATCCTGAAATGGCCCTTCCAGGACCTGCTATTCATAGCATGATCAGGATCCCATTTTGGTGCCATACCGCACTGAGCGCGAGAGCAGAAGCGATCGATCGCTGAGGGTTGACGAAGGTCGATGTTGAGTTATGCATTGCATGAGCCCAACCACGGGGGTTTTCTGCGCCGCCGGCACTATTCCTTTTTCGTTACCCGAGCGGCTGATGAGCCATGCAGGGGCGTGGGCAGCCTCAGCGCACAGCCCCCCCGTGCGAAGAGCAAGCGTGCTCACTTTGACATTTGCTCGCCATGTTCTGTCCACCGAGTGAGTGCTTTTGGCCTGTCGCTCCAGCAGGGGCTTCAAGATTCCGCCGTCGAAATTTCCTCCTCTGTCGGCCTACAACTACGATCCTACCCAAGATCTCAATTTCGTGCGGCAGATCCGCCCACCAAGCCCTATCGTGACCGTCTTTATGTTTGACGTACGCGTGAACGACTCGGAGCGAACGGAATCAATTCATCACTACCTGTAACTATCAGAAGTCTGTGAAGGCGAAAGAATGACAAATATCAGCTGCCTTTGACAAAGGGACTCATCAAGAGAGTGGATTCAACCATAGACCAAAAGAGCGCGTGCTTGCGGATCAGAGCCCATTGTCGTTGGCCCTGCCCATGGTAGTCGGTGCCCGCCGGGCACGGACAAGCAAGCTGAAAAATAGACAACCGGAAGATGGATTGTCTGGAAGACGTGTTGGCGGTGAAAAGAGCGATGTGACCGCCGACGCTCAGTGTGACAAACCATCAGTCACTCTTCAGGTTCGTCCAAGCTTTCGTCCCTCCGCCCTCCCTATCGGGCTCTTC